CACCAATAATGAAGGATATTGATCCTATTGTCCACGGATGATAAGTCCATTAAGGACCGATTTGAGCCAATTTATTTTCAGATGACATTTTTCGTTATTTTTTAGGCGACGAAAGACCATTTTCTTTGGTTATTAAAGGTTACAGATCGCGGATTCTACCTGAGGCTATTCTTCAACGATGATTGAGTGCATTAAGCACCGATTTGGGTGGATTTATTACGGGTCAATTTTTAACAGATTCCAAAGGGGTACCTTCGCAGATTTCATGAGATTTTTTTGAAATGCCATTTTCTTTCGATTCTGGATGCTACAAACTACTTAATCAAACCGAGGCTATTCTCCATCGATAATGAAGTCTATTGATCCTATTCTCCACGGATGATAAGTCCATTAAGCACCTATTTGGACAATTTATTTTCGGATGTCATTTTCGTAATTTTTTGTGCGATGAAAGGACAATTTATTTGGATTTTGAAGACTACAGATCACATATTCGACTAGAGACTATTCTTCATCTATGATTAAGTCCATTATGCACAGATTCATGTGGATTTATTACGGGTAAATTTTTGGCAGATTCCAAAGGGGTACCATCACAGATTTCGGGCTATTTTCCTGAAATGCCATTTTCTTTAGATTTTGGAGGATACATATCACGGAATTAGGTCGAGGCTATTCTCTACCGATAAGGAAGTCTATTGATCCTATTCTCCAAAGATGATAAGTACATTAAGCACCGATTTGTGCTAATTTATTTTCGGATGGCATTTTCGTAATTTTTTGGGCGATGAAAGGCCATTTTCTTTGCATATTGAAGGCTACAGATCACGGATTCGGCCTGAGGCTATTCTTCAACGATGATTGAGTCCATTAAGCACCATTTGGGCGAATTTATTCTGGTTCAATTTTTAGCTGATTCCAAAGGGGTACCATCAGAGATTTCGGGCAATTTTTCCGAGATGCCATTTTCTTTTGATTTTGTAGGCTACAGATCATGGAAACAGGCCGAGGCTATTCTCCACCGATAATGAAGTCTATTGATCTTATTCTCCACGGATGATAAGTCATTTAAGCACCAATTTAGGACAATTTATTTTTTGATGACATTTTCGTAATTTTTTGGGCGACGAAAGGCCATTTTCATTCGATATTGAAGGCTACAGATCACGGATTTGGCCTGAGCCTATTCTCCAACGATGATTGAATCCATTAAGCACCGAGTTGGGCGGATTTATTTCGGGTCAATTTTTGGCAAATTCCAAAAGGTGTACCATCATAGATTTTGGGCGATTTTTCCAAAATGCCATTTTCTTTCGATTCTGGAGGCTACAGATCACGAAATTAGTTCGAGCCTATTCTCCACCGATAATGATGTCTATTGGTCCTATTCTCCACGGATGATAAGTCCATTAAGCATCGATTTGGGCCAATTTATTTTCGGATGGCTTTTACGTAATTTTTCGGGCGACGAAAGGCCATTTTCTTTGATATTGAAGGCTATAGATCACTGACTCTGCCTGAGGCTATTCTTTAACGATGATTGAGTCCATTATGCATCGATTTGGGATGATTTATTTCGGGTCAATTTTTGGCAGATTCTAAAGGGGTACCATCACATATTTCGGGCGACTTTTTCGGAATTCCATTTTCTTTCGATTCTGGAGGATACAGATCACCGAATCAAGACGAGGCTATTCTCCACCGATAATGAAGTAACTGATCCTATTCTCCAAGGATAATAAATCCATTAAGCACTGATTTGGGCCAATTTATTTTCGGATGGCATTTTCGTAATTTTTTTGGCGACGAAAGGCCATTTTCTTTGGATATTGAAAGCGACAGATCACGGATTCGGCCTGAGACTATTCTTCAACGATGATTGAGTCCATTAAGCACCGATTTGGGCGGATTTATTCCGGCTCAGTTTTTGGTAGATTCCAAAGGGGTTCCATCACATATTTCGGGCAATTTATCCGAAATGCCATTTTCTTTCGATTTTGAGGCTACAGATCACGAAATCAGGCCGAGGATATTCTCCACCGATAATGAAGTCAATTGATCCTATTCTCCACGGATGATAAGTCCATTAAGCACCGATTTGGGCCAATTTATTTTCGGATGGCATTTTCGTAATTTTTTGGGCCACGAAAGGCCATTTTCATTGGATATTGAAGGCTACAGATCACGGAATCGGCATGAGGCTATTCTTCAATGAAGATTGAGTCCATTAAGCACCGATTTGGGCGGATTTAGTCCGGGTCAATTTTTGGCAGATTCCAAAGGGGTACCATCACAGATTTTGGGCGATTTTTCCGAAATGCCAGTTTCTTTCGATTTTGGAGGCTACAGTTCAACGAATCAGGTCGAGACTATTCTCCACCGATAATGAAATCTATTGATCCTATTCTCCACGGATGATAAGTCCTTTAAGCACCGATTTTGGCCAATTTATTTTCGGATCGCATTTTCGTAATTTTTTGGGCGACGAAAGGCCATTTTCTTTGGATTTTGAAGGCTACAGATCACGGATCCGGCCTGAGGCTATTCTTCAACGATGATTGAATCCATTATGCACCAATTTGTGCGAATTTATTTCGGGTCAAATTTTGGCAGATTCCAAAGGGTACCATCACATATTTCAAGCAATTTTTCCGAGATATCATCGTCTTTGATTCTGGAGGCTACAGATCTCGGAATCAGGCCGAGGCTATTCTCCATTGATAATGAAGTCTATTGATCTTATTCTCCTAGGATGATAAGTCCATTAAGCACCAATTTGGACAATTTATTTTCGGATAACATTTTCTTAATTTTTTGGCCGAGTAAAGTCCATTTTCATTGGATATTGAAGGCTACAAAACACAGAATCGACATGAGGCTATTCTTCAACGATGATTGAGTCCATTAAGCACTGATTTGGGCGTATTTATTCCGGCTGAATTTTTGGCAGATTCCAAAAAGAGGTACCATCACAGATTTTGGACGATTTTTCCGAAATGCCATTTTCTTTCTATTCTGGAGGCTACAAATCACCGAATTAGGTAGAGGCTATTCTCCACAGATAATGAAATTTATTGATCCTATTCTCCATGGATTATAAGTCCATTAACCACCGATTTGGGCCAATTTATTTTCGGATGGCATTTTCGTAATTTTTTGGGCGACGAAAGGCCATTTTCATTGGATATTGAAGGCTACAGATCAATGATTCGGCATGAGGCTATTCTTCAACGATGATTGAGTCCATTAAGCACCGATTTGGGAAGATTTATTTCGGGTCAATTTTTGGCAGATTCCAAAGGGTTATCTCACAGATTTCGGGCGATTTTTCAAAATGCCATTTTCTTTCAATTCTGGAGGCTACAGATCACGAAATCGGGTCGAGGCTATTTTCCACCGATAATTAAGTCTATTGATCCTATTCTCTACGGATGATAAGTCCATTAAGCATCGATTTGGGCCAATTTATTTTCGGATTGCATTTTCATAATTTTATGGGCGGCGAAAGGCCATTTTCTTTGGATATTGAAGGCTACAGATCACGGATTTGGCCTTAGGCTATTCTTCAACGATGATTGAGTCCATTAAGCACCTTTTGGGCGGATTTATTGCGGGTCAATTTTTGGCAGATTCCAAACGGGTACCATAACAGATTTCAGGCAATTTTTCCGAGATACCATTTTCTTTTGATTCTGGAGGCTAAAGATCACGAAATCAGGCCGAGGCTATTCTCCACCGATAATGAAGTCTATTGATCCTATTCTCCACGGATGATAAGTCCATTAAGCACCGATTTGGGCCAATTTATTTTCGGGTGGCATTTTCGTAATTTTTTGGGCGACGAAAGGACATTTTCATTGGAAATGGAAGGCTACAGATCACGGATTCGGCTTGAGACTATTCTTTAACGATGATTGATTCCATTAAGCATCGATTTGGACGGATTTATTTCGAGTCAATTTTTGGCAGATTCTAAAGGGGTACCATAACATATTTCAGGCGATTTTTCCGAACAGCCATTTTTTCGATTCTGTAGTCTACCGATCACCGAATCAGGCCAAGACTATTCTCCACCGATAATGAAGTCTATTGATCCTTTTCTCGATGGATGATAAGTCCATTAAGCCCCGATTTGGGCCAATTTATTTTCGAAAGGCATTTTCGTAAATTTTTGGGGGACGAAAAGCCATTTTCTTTGGATTTTGAAGGCTACATATCATGGATTCGGTCCGAGGCTATTCTCCACCGATGTAGAAGTCTATGAATCCTATTCTTCATCGACGATTAAGTCCATTAATTAACAATTTGTGGTAATTTATTTTCGGATGACATTTTCGTAATTCTTTGGGGATTTTCTTGGGATTTTGAAGGCTACAGATCACAGATTTGGTCTAAGATTATTCTTCAACAATTTTTACGTCTCTTAAGCACCGATTTCGGCGGATTTATACCGGATCAAGTTTTGGCAGATTCCAAAGGAGTACTATCACAGATTTTGGGCGATTTTCCCGAAATGTCATTTTCTTTTAATTTTGAAGGCTACGGATAAGGGATTCGACCCAAGCCTATTCTCCGCAAATGGTGAAGTCTATGGATCCTATTCTCTACCGACGATTAAGTCCATCAAGCATCAATTTGGGGTAATTTGTTTGCGGATGCCATTTTCATAATTTTTTTGCGGGTTTTTTTTCGAAGGGCCATTTTTCTTCGATTTTGGAGGCTACAAATCATAGATTTAGCCTGGGACTATTATTCAATGATGCTTAATTCCCTTAAGCACCGATTTGAGCGGATTTATTCTGGGTCAATTTTTGGCAGAGGGGTGGGCATTCTGTCGGTTCGGTTTCGAACGAACCAAAATTATAAATACCGGGTCCCCGAATTCTCCCAAACCTCAAACCAAATTCTAACCGAATTATAATTCGGTTCGGTCGGTTTAAACCGAATTATAATTCGGTTCGGTTTTTCACCCAAAACCGAATTTGTGAAGCTACTTGTATTTTCTCACTTTTAAATTATTTTTCACCCCTAATATAAACAATAAATATCAATTATATGCATCATCAATGATAAAATCAAACTTTTCAACACATAATTCATAAAACATTTCAAATATTTAAGTCTAAAAACAACTACAAACATAAAAATCCACCATTTGGAGCTTGCAATTATAGTATTTCGGTTTTTCGGTCGAAATTCAGAAATTCGGTTCAGTTGAAAGAACCCTGGTTTCCAAACAATCCATATTTTCCTTCCGAATTCCGAACCGAATAGCATTAATTCGGTTTCGGTTCTGTTCAATTCGGTTTCGTTTCGGGTTTACCGAACCGTTTGCCCACCCCTAGTACCATCACAGATTTCGGGCAATTTCCCTAAATGCCATTTTCTTTCGATTTGAAGGGTATAGATCACGGATTTGGTTCGAGGTTATTCTCCACCGATGGTGAAGTCTACGTATCCTATTCTCCACCGACGATTAAGTCCATTAAGCAACAATTTAGGACAATTTGTTTTTGGATGGCATTTTCGTAATTTTTTGACGATTTTTTTTCGAAGGGCCATTTTACTTGTATTTTGAAGGCTATAGATCACAGATTCACCCTGAGACTATTCTTCAATAATCATTAAATCCTTAAGCACCGATTTGGGCGGATTTATTCCGGGTCAATTTCTGGCAGATTCCAAAAGGGTACCATCAGAGATTTCGGACGATTTTTCCGAAATGCCATTTTATTTCGATTTTGAAGGCTATGGATCACGAACTCGGCCCGAGGCTATTCACCACCGATGGTGAAGTCTTTGGATCCTATTCTCCACTAACGACTAAGTCCATTAAACAACAATTTGGCGTAGTTTGTTTTCGGATAGTATTATCGTAATTTTTTGGCGATTTTTTTCGTAAGGCCATTTTACATTCATTTTGAAGGTTACAGATCACAGATTCAGCCTGAGACTATTCGTCAACAATGATTAAGCCTTTTAAGCACCGATTTGGGTGGATTTATTCCGTGTCAATTTTTGGCAGATTCCAAAGGGGTACCACCATCACAGATTTCGGGAGATAAACTCGCAAGCTGGCTTCTTTAGAGTTTGTGGAAGGATTAATCACTCTTCTGAACACGAACATTATGTTGTTGATACGGATGTGTATGGAAGTTAGATGTTATTTTTAGTTTCTAGTGTTCTTTTATCATTTAAATTCTTATGCGTACATATTTTTCAGCAAGAATGATTTTAAATTGAACTCATCTTGAACCGAGCTTGTACTCAGGTTGACAAGCTGTGTTAATGAGCATTTACCAAGCTCTACCGAGTCACCCTCGAGCTAGATTATTTTTAATCGAGTTGAAATCGAGCTGGATTATCAAAATTTGAGTTCGAGCTAAAAAATGTATAAACAAATCGAATTAAGTTAAGAAAAAAATCGACTCGCCTCTTGTGCAGCCCTAGTATATTGTTTGCCGAATTGGCTTGATGTGGTCCGTTGCATATGTCGTTATTCCATTTGCATGCGTTCTGTTAAACCTTTGTCTGCAAGATGATTAGTAGTTTGCTTCGACTGGCCAATTTACTATCCATGATCCAACCAGCCAAACTTGCCAAAGAGAAGTTCAACAACAAGGCCAAAATAGTACCCCGGGCAAATTGTTACAACTAACAACACCAAGTCACCAACCACAGAAAAGCTAACTGCAATTATTAAGAGACCAATCGCCAAATCAAAACGACCCAAATAACACTGTTCATGAAACTCAACCACAGACACAACCATGGAAGATAAGCAGAGGCCCTCTGAAAACCACACTATCCCTTTTACTACTCCTTCTTCAGAGCAGTACGGGCAGCGAAAGCGATGCCGAAAATCAAGAGTGGCAGCACCAGCTGGAGCAGCTTGATCAAGTAGGCGTTGTACTGTGGATCCTTGGCCGTGTGCACCGGCGGGTTGTACTTCCTCCCCGACGGAACGCTGGCCGGATCGATGTCGCCAATGTAGTACTTCATCATCAGCTCCCGAGCTTCCTTCCCGTGCCCCACGTCTTCGAAATCGTCGGTCGCATCTTTCTCTGCATTGTGCAACAAACCCGTTCTCACCATCGATCATCAATCAAACAAATTGAAACCATAACAACTTTTGAAGGAAGCGGCAATCGGGAAAATTTGTGTGCGTTTCTGATTTTACCAGTTGCTGCAAGTAGCACCTCGTCCCCTCCAGGATGTTCTTCCAGGAATTCTGTCACATTATATACCTGCAGTTACAGTAAAAAGGTTGGATACTCGATTCCCCTAAATTTCACTAACAACAGATGACACAGAGAATTTAATCAAGCTACCTGCTTTATCAAGTAACATTAGCTAGATATTAACACATACAAATCAAACAATCTCCTTAGTAGACTAGAACAATACGACAGTAGCATCCGTCGTTGCAAGGATTTGGTCTAGTGGTATTAACATTGATTTTGAATCTGGATATCGCAATTTCGAATCCCTTAAGTAACACAAAACAGTAAAAAAAACAACTTTCAAACGAATCCAGAGCAGAGCAAGACCACAGTAGAATCCGAGACAGATCCCAACAATATATTGACGAATGCAGAACATGGAAGAACAGCAAACAGTAAAATTGGGGATGTACGGAACAGGCAGAAAGAAAGGAAAGAACTGACCTTGCCGTGAATAAGGAGCCAGCAATCGTCCCGGCTTTTGTGGTTAACCACATCATCAAACTCATGGATTCTGGCTGGTTTTGCAGCCATTTTCGACGATATAGCTGATAAATAAGCTCCAACCCCTGAAATTCAGCTAAAAAACAGGAACCCATTATCAGAAGTGAACCATACTAGAGAATCCAGTCACCCAGAGATGCAACTAAGCTGAGAAATTAAGGGCAGTAGACATTGACTGGAATTATAATTGAAAGGGCGCGGGGCTTACAGAGAGAGAATGAGAAATAGCTTAAGGCAGAGAGCGAAGTTTTGGAGACGAGAGCGAGAAAGAAAGGACGACCTGCAGCCCAGACAGACACTAGAGCCGGCCATATATAGGAAGGAAATTATTAAACAAAAACTATTTTTTAAATAAAACTTGCATTAATTCTACCCAAACGAAGGGCTACAGCAGTTCAGAGATACAATTGACTAATTGAGTGCATTAAACAACTCCGAGATGGAACAAATCAAGACCTTAAATAAAACTAAATTCCACATTGTCACCCAGAATCAGATTCTTTCTTTAATAACTTTGTGTGGCAAAATTAAGACCCTAAACAAAACTAATCCCATTGTCATCCAGAATGAGATTGTTTTTTTTTTCTTTATTAACTTAATACTTTTATGCTCTCAGTCCAAAATATTTAAAGGGGCTCTTTTTCCCCAAATGTGTTCTAATGTTTGCGAAAATTTTAGCCCAAAATGTCTTTGGTCTATATGTGTGATCCAATTCAAATTAAGAAACAACCTATATATTTTGTCCTAAAAAAAAAAAAAAGAAACAACCTGTACATTTGAAAAGAGATGAATGATTGTGAAACTCTAATGTGGATTATACCGGAAAAGTGAATGACCGGCTATGTTGTACTAAAATTAATATTTAACTGTGGTTTAATTATTACATACCGTGAAAATTGCTTCCAGGTTTGGGATCCCGTGCCAAGCATTCCTAGTTCGACGGGTTGTATGTACAGTTTCTAAAACATTGAAAGAAAGACGTGACAGTTGAATCTTGTTCATAGGAAATAACAAAATTTTCTACAATGAAGAGGAATAGTCTAAAAAATCTCATTGAACCCCTTTCTCTCATCTTTCCTCGTTTGCTAGATAAACTTACCGAACCTTTTGCCACGATAGCGACCTCACAATCAGAATCAGGTCTGGTTGGGGAGGTTATTTCATGAGCCAAGTTGTTTGAGGTCGAGCCCAAGAATCGAATGGGCTTTCGTCCTTCGGTGAAGCTCAATGACTGGTTTCATCTTCCACAGGAGGTCAAGAAGAGTGACGATGATTGATGGAAATGATGCCTCTTATTGTAGTTCATCGGTCATACTATGAAGGTCGCTCTTCTTCGATAGTTGAAAAATACCTTTGGGGACGGGACATATTAGTTAGGATTTCAAAATTTGGGTCGTGGCTGTTTGTTTACCAATCTCTTACATGCGCCGACGAGAAAGTGTGTTCAAATCAAGGTTGTGGCATTTTCAGGGTAATCAAGTGTTTTTTGGAAAGTGGGAGTCGGGAATCTAACAAGTTGTGTCTCCAGTTGAAACATTACCAATTTTGGTTCATATTTGGGGGTTGTCACTTGAGTATCACTCTTTTAAAGTTTTGGAATGGGTTTCTAGTATTCCGGATCCTCTCGTGGAAGTCACCTTCTTTGGAGTGGGTTACCCTCAATCTAGACGGCTTTATCCTTCCATAATCAAGCCTTACTGTTGAGGGTGGCTTTGGCTTGATTAGAGATCATACATGGTACTACATTGCAACATTTGCTTTGAACTTGAGTTTTTGTTCTATCACCCCAAGCAAAATTGAGGGGAGCTATTGAATGCCTTCAGTTGGCATGTATTAGAATTGAATTTGTGCAGTGCTTCTTCTCGCGAATCACCGCTATACAAGAATCATACATCATTTCCAAGAGTTATACACCCAGAACTAGAACATGTCGATTTCCCACATCTGTAGTTAGGGCATATTACCTCACGAGTCACGATCATGACTTATCTTTGGATTTTCATAGTTTTTTTGTTTCAAATATTGTCTTTTATTATTAACGTGTGAATGAAAACTAAACATGCAGCATTCATTTATAATAAGAAAAATAGAAATACACCATAGAAAAGAGAGAAAACCATGCTTTCTTGCGGAAATTTTGTTTAATTTGATTACACACCAAAAAAAAAAGTTGTTTTGAAAAGATAATTGGCTTTTCTCCTTTTGTAAAAGCTGACACTTTTGCATCGTTGGGCGTTCGCACTTCACAATCCGCAGATAGAGTTGTAGTAGAAAAGAAAAGAAAAAAAGAGAAATGAGGTTAATTGTTTCAACTACCAAATTTCAGCCAGAAAGGAACGTGAAGCATATGGAGCCCTGCCAAGCTCACCAAACCACCAACTTTCTCTCGGTTCAAAAACTCCATTCATTTTCCGGTCCCACATTCTCAATAATTCTCTATCCCGGTTAGTGTATTGGTAACAGCAGTGCTGCAGAGACTCTTTCTATATTAACAGTGATTAGCAGGCTTAAGTTCTAATTTGATTCAAAAATTGTCAATAGTTGAGTGAGTTAATAGGTAAACTTGGAACCGGTTGTAATACTAGCAACATGCTAATATCATTCATCAAAATATTATAGTAATTACTCACTTATAGCAGTTACATTTCCCTCTCTTCGCTCCATTGATTTGGATTTCATATACAAATTACAGTTTGATACCTAAATTTAATGGATTCAAAAATTTAGTATAAAAAACAAAATTTTCGCGCATATAATATAAGTTGTAAAAAATTGAAGGAGAATTTAATTTTAGGACCTGAAAGTTTTATGTCTTACATTTTAATACCTAAACTTTTTAAATTTACAAATAGGTCAAAGTTTATGAGGTTTCTAATCTGGATTAAGAAACTTGTGATCTGCTTTCATAAACTTGTACTATCTTTTATGAGGTTTCTGATATGCTTCATAGAATCACCCAAAAATATTAAAACTTAATTTTTGTTTATGATTGAGTTGGATCAACTAAACTATACTTTTAAGTAAATACAACTCAACACTAAAATAAATGCAACTATTTTGCACACAAAAAGAAAATATTACATAACTAATTAGAATTTCAAGCAAATAAACCAAGGCAAAAAAATTCAAAATGTATAGAAGTTGTTGCTTAGATCTCGATGAAGTGCAATATGCTTCCTCATAAATGTACTCTAATTGGAGGGTTCGGATCGTAACAATAACTTACATATGCATTAGCGTCAGTAACCCTCATCAACCATTCATGGAAGATAACCAACTTTTCCCCCAATTTAATTTAACGGGCTATATCCCTTTCGGTTTAAGTGAGAATTCAAATTTATTTGGACAGAAAAATCACTTTGATCGTGGTCTTTAAAATGATATTCACTTTGATATATTTTGAAACAACCATAATTGTGGCACATATTTAGCCCATTAGATACCATGCATTAGTTTATTGTTAAATTTTTTTATTCTTAACAATAAAAAGGAGTATTATTTTTGCCTTTTCATATATATTTTATCACCACGGAGAAATAAAAGGGCTTAAAGAAAAAAAATTGACACTCCTGGACCCGTTTAAATTCGCATGTGTACGGTAAGTTGGCCCGTTCCACAGAGGAAAAAGAAAAAAAATTGACACTCCCTATTCTACCCTTCCTACAAACGCTCATGGAGCAGGAAATTTGAAATGGGGGAAGAGTTTTTTCCTCACTGCTATTATATCTTTTTAATTTAAAAAGATACAACAAATGTGCTTAGTGTGATTGGTTATTATTCGTGCTTTTCTTTAAAATGGTCATGGTTCAAATCCCAATATGTGTCTTTTTAATGAATAAAAAAAAGTAATTGTGAAGACCAAAATGTCCTTCCTACCTTCACTCTCGTTGCAGGAAATTTGAAATGGAGCTCCCATTTTTTCCTTCGGCGTATTATAAGTATAGTAGAGTAGATAGATAGATAGATAGATAGATAGATAGAGATAGACAGATTCATTCATGGTTAGGTTCCCATTTTCGGGCTGAGAGACTGTATAATTGTTTGATGTAAGAATGATTAGTCAAGGTTACCCAATTCGTAACTCTTGCGATGGCGCTCCTCTTTCTAACAGCCAGAACACGAATTTACGGAAATTATGTGTATAATTCGCGCATTATATTTTGTCAGAGCGCGAACTTTGAATTACAGAGTGCGACTTCTCCCTGAACGCATCATTTTATGATTATCTTCTCAACAACATTGATTTTGATCGATATCAACTCACCAGATTATCTAATACTTTTCTCAATCTGGGCCAAGTTCTTCATCAGAGTCTCCAATTGGACTTTCTTTGGGAACTAGTGGGAAGGTGGAAGAATCAAGAGTCATGCTGCCGCCGTTGGCACATTTTCTGGTTCATTGGGCTCTGGCGTGGAATGTATGTTGTGACTGGGCTAGGTACCCACTGCCTTTCTTGTACCCAACTCTTGAAGCTCTTTGATCTTGTGGGCCGGAACACTTCTGTTTCCATAGAATACAACCAAGTTTTCCATAAATATAACTAGCTTATAACTCGGCCCGTTGGCCGAAATGTTCATATTTGATTATTTATAACTTTATGTTAAGTTTAAGTCTTATCAACCTGTTTAATATTTTTCATAATCTTTCGAATTAGATGATACATAAAGAAATAATATATAGGTTGAACACTCGAAGAAATACCATCATCTTTTAAGAATATAAAATATAAAAATGTATCATTGATTTCATTTTCATTTCATAATGATAATATTATATTGGTTAGTTAATTGTCAAGAAAGATATAATATAAAAGCTCACTGGAATTACCACACGGCCCATATGTAGTTTGAAACTGAATCTAAAACCTCACAATCCTACATAAAGGCTTCAATGCTCTTCTTTTAGGAACAACATGTCACTAATAAAAAAGAAATTGAGAGTTGTTGGTTCAAGTCAACTATATACTACAAACTAAACTAAGAAGGAACCATCAAAACTTGAGAGCAAACGACAAAATTAGGGTTATCTCCAATATACTAATAGACTTGATCAAAGTCATAATACATAAAATTAGACACTTCTTTTCTATAAGTTTCAGTAGGTTGAATAAAGAATCGACCTAATTCAGTAAATCAATGATTTCTCGTTTAACATATAAATAGGTTGTGGTAGCTGCAAAAACCATAAACCTAAAGAGCAAATAGCCACCACTCTCAGTTGAACGACCAAATTTTTATCCACTTTATCTTTAATCTCAAGAGCAATATGTTTCAACCAAACAACTTCATTTCCTCGGGGCACTTGTAATAAGTTCGCTAAAACCAACACTCATCTCCAATTACATCAATATGTTCATCTCCCCTTTGACTGCATTCACCTGCTTTAGTCCACTTCCATGTCCTTCCATAACCTCTCCATTTTCATTATTATCCTCATCATCTCTCACTTCTCTCTCTTTAACTGCTCCAGTTTCTCTTCCATGTCTTTCAACACCCACCTCAATTCATTCACTACCCTCTCCAACTCCCTCTTCTCTGCCTTCACTTGTTGCAGTGGAACTTTACCTGCTACCAAATTCAAACACAATTTCTTCCCCCCTCCTCCCCCCCCCCCCCACCTCCACCACTTCCATTCTCAAACTCAATTCCAACTCTTCTACTCCAAGTTTAAATTCATAACTACTTGATTGAACTCCATTCTATTCGACATGGATTGATATCGGATTTGAAATTTTCTATTTGCCTAGTTTAAATCCCAAAAATAAAACTGTCATGCCAAGAGAAACCAGAAGATTAATTTTCAAATGCGTTCTTGTACTGGGAAGTGAAATGGCCAAATTATTGCACGATGGAGGGACTTTTGGAGGAAGTTATAAAGAGATAAGAACAAAGATACAAAAAGAAAACATTTAATTTTAAATTGAAAAATACAATGACGCAACATGTAGTGAAAAAATAGTTTCTTCATGTTAGCCAATTACAAATTTACCTAAGCAAAAATTAAGGAGAGCATGAATTTTAAAATGGATAAAATTACATGAAACTCTACTATGGAAATTGAAGTATTAAGCACCATAAAAATAAATATGGTAGACTTAGTGGGCTTGTTGATCATGATGTAAAAGTCATTAACTTTCCAGAGTTTAGTGTATGTTTTGTATCAAATAGAAACAACAAATTCGTTTAGTGTAGTTGGTTATGATTGTTGTCCGTGTTTGGAGACCTGGGTTCAAATCTTCATATTGATATTTTTTATTTGAAATAAACAGATAATTGTAAAGACAAAAATGTCCTTCCTACTTTCACTCTCGTTACAGAAAATTTGAAATGGAGAAAATTACACAAAACTCTACCATATATTAATGGGGATGTTTTTAGTTTACTTTCTACTACTAGTTATATTAACATTTTAGGTATACTGGTAGTATAGCGGGGAGATTTTTTTTTTAATTTTTATGAGATAAATCAGCTCCAAATTAAAACTTTGGGAGGGATGCATCAATAGAACCTGGCATGGTTGATATTAGTTAAAAATATGCAAATGATATCATCTTAATCAACTCGCTTGTCGCGCTCTGAAAATTAGACGCATTAGACTCATGCTACTTTTCGAAACTCTGGTGCCCCTCCCATATAATCTACTTCCTTTCTAGTGACTTAGATGGTGCAATCAAGGTTTCGGTGGGGGTGGTGTGGATTTTGTTGGGGTTTCATCCAATCAAGAAGTCGAATTCGCATTTGATTGATTTTATGACGTTGTTTACAACCTGGTTGTTGTTGAACTCCTAACCCTTTGGTACGCTCTTAGATTGTTTTTATCTCATTCGTACACTAATGTTCTGTTTTGTGGTGAAGCATGTGTGATCCTCCGGATGGTCAACGGGGAAGGACTCATCGCATGCTCTGGGTGACACTCTCTTGTCTAAGGTTCAGATGATATGTTGCTCGTTCCACGTAGGCATAACATGACTGTAAATATCGTAATAAAAAAAAGCCCTTGTAACATTGGATCGCCTTCCAATTGAACAACATTTTTTCTACTTTCCGTTTTGTAAGTTTGTATGCAAGTCATTTGTACATATAATTTGTATGTTGTTTCCCTATAGGAAGAAAACATTGTAACACTATAATAAAAAAATGGGTAAATGTCACATTTGGTCAAAGAGATTACTAAATCGTGTCATATTTAGTCATTAGAAAATTTTAATATCAAAATTCGAGTGACCGAAGTAGGATAGAGGCTAGAGGAAAGTGACCAAATGTGACATGTTTCAGTAATTCGAGTGAGTAAAATTGATATTAAATTTTTCTAGTGACTAAACATGACACGATTTAATAATCTCAATCGCCAAATGTGACATTTAAAAAAAATTATACAATAAATGATGAGAGAAACCCAACTATCCCAACGATGCAAGTATGCAACCATCCAACCTTGTGAATTGTGATGTTGCCAATGATGATGATGAGACAAGATAGCGGCAGCCTCTGAAAGGCTTTAGTCCCCTGAAGGCTGAAGCTGGCCCCAAATTTGCGTTGTCGATTTGCAGAAAGTGTGGCAGCACTGCACAATACCGCCAAATATAATAAACCTCAAGTAGCCTCTTTTCCCTTCCGATTTTTCCTGTCCGTCCAATCTTGGATTCTCCTGCCCACCAAAAATCATACATAGACGCCCACTACAGGACGAATGTTCGTCCCTAATTTTTTTTTTATTAAATCGATTGGAATATCTATGGTATGATCAACATAACCAATTTTCGACCTCTAAACAAAATAATAATGTTTTGAAAAATTTAATTAACAAAATTGTAAAGAGAAACCCCAGGGAATCCAGTGATTGATTAGGGGAGGGATAGTACTGTCTCTCTGTGCAACCCCTACCCACCATTGCTTGCCCACAAATAAGATAAATGAAAATGCAGGAATCGTATTCTGATAAGGAATTCCGGAAAATAGAATAATAAACAGAGAACCAGGCAATGGCAAGCTGGGTGCAGATCATTCAATCCCCAATTCCATTCCAAATTCCAATCCAAATTCTAAAACCAATTCTTCTATGTTTAATCTATGGTTTTCGTAATCCTGTGTACTAAAATAGATAAAAACTTACAAGTATTACTATGGACATGCGGCAACCTTTTTTGCCCCTTCTTTCCACCTGACCTTGTTCTTCATTAATCACCGCCCATTACCCATCTCCGTCGCCGTCGACGATACCGCCTCCGTCCCCACCGGAGTCACCTCGAACGATTCCGATTTCCGGGTGCTCTTCAGCTTCAGCATCCCGTACAGTTTCCGGATGTCCTTCATCGGATTCAACATCGCCGCCGACCCTCCCCCGTCCCTCCCGAAGATCCCTGAATGCTCCTCCTGCGACTCACAGTACCCACCGCTTCGCGGCCCTCCTCCGACGATGTCCAGCGATCCCCTACGGTCGCCTTCAGTCTGCAGCGCCTTCATCACCAGCTTCAGCGCCCGGCTAGGGGAGCTCCGGTTCGCGATCATCAGCTCTCCGATCTCCGCCGAGCTCAGGCTCGCCCCCGTCTGGAAAATCTCCGCCACCTGGGCGAACAGCTTGTGATCCTTCAGCCCCAGGTGGCTGCTCGCCAGCGTCTTGAACGCCGAGAAATCGCACATCGGGAAGTGGATGTGGACGTCGACCCGACCCGGTCGGAGCACCGCCGGGTCGACCCGGTCCTTGCTGCTCATCGTGAACACGAGGATCCTCTCCTCCGCCGCGCAGGAGTTGAGGACCCCGTCCATGAAATTCAGCACCCCGGGTAACGTCACTGCCGCCGATGTTGACGATGACGATGACGATTTCTCCGTCACGAATCGGTCGAGATCCTCGATCACGATCACGGACCGGGTCGTCGTCTGGAGCAAGAGCGATTTGAGATCTGAATCGTCTCGGACTCTTGAGAGCTCGATCTCGTAGACGTCGTAGCGCAACAGATTGGCCATGGCGGCGACGAAACTCGATTTCCCCGTCCCCGACGGGCCGTACAGGAGGTAGCTCCGCTTCCAGACGCGGCCGAGGCGGTGATAGTACTGCTTGGCTCGGAGGAACGACTCCAGATCTGATTTCAGTTTAATCTTCAGATCCGGCTCCATCGCAATCGTGTCGAAAGTCGACGGATGAGCGAACGGGACCGACCTCCACCGCCTCGAGTTCGGTTGGCTGGCCGCCGCGGCGTTCATGTAGAGCTTCAAATCCTTCTTCCTCTCCTCCAGCTCGTCAGAGACGGTGTGGATGTGCTGGAGGTAAGGACGGAGAATCCGCCTCTTTTCTCCTTTCCTGACCTTCAGAACCAAAGTCCTGCTACCTCCGCCGCCGCCATCGTCGCCGTTAATCCAAGAAACCCGAGCTCCGAGAAAATAATCTTCGATTCTCTGGTTAGGATCGAGGCGGAGGACGATCTCGTTGGAACTCCTCCCGGTGAAGAGGTTCGTGAAATCCGAATCCTCCATCGATTCCAGAGAATTCAAGTACAGAGTCACCCTCCGGTAGAGCTCGTTCTCCTGCAAGCCGCCGGTGAATTCCGGCACCTTGAAGTACTGATAAACGTGCAGGCGGTCTTCCACGACTCTCCACCATTTTTTGGGGAGGTAAATCAGCCCAGTCTTGAACAGAGCCACGCGAAGCAGATAAAACAGAGCAGCAATGGCTACCGCCAGAAGCATTGACTGGTAAAGAATCTTCATGAATACGATTCTATCCAAAAACCAAAGCAAGAAAAATCAAGCTAACCGGAGAAGGACGGGATATCCGATTCGGCTCAATAGAAACCGTAGGTGAGTACGGCGGGCTGTGAAGGGCCGGCGGAAGGAGCTCATGCTGCTGATGTCATGCGGCGGCGGCGGCGGAGAGAGGTGGCGATTAGGGTTAGGGGAGACGGGTGGCCGGCCAGGACAAAGGACTGCAACGAAATCAACGATGGGCGGAGAAGGAGACGAGAATTTCTGGCGATAGGTTTGAAAAAAAAAAATCGCTGTGAGTTGGAGTTTTGAAGGCCGAAGAAGAACTCGAGGGAAGACTTTGACAATTTCCTTTCTTCTTTTATTATGTTTTTTGCTCTCTTTTCTTCGCCCGGCTTTTGGTAGAGGTGGAAAAGTGCGGGTGCTGGCTGGGCTGCCCACACGGAAGCCAAGTAGGAACACGGAGGTGTGTTATTGTAATTTTCCTTTTTTTCGTTGTCATTCTTTTAGGTTAGTTTTTAAATATTCGTTTGATACTCTCATTCGTCTTTTATTCTTATTTCTTTATTTTTCTAGGTCATTGGTTTGTTTATAAAAGTAAGTAAGCAAAGTTATCAATTCGATTTATATAGTTATGTTGATTGCACAAATGGTAATAACTATAGTCTGATTAGTGGTACAATCGGAATATGCTAGTTCATGTCGTTCATGTCGCAAGTTTAAATAAAATATAACATTTCAAACAAAATAAAAAAAACATTATAATATTTAAATATAACATTTAGAAAATAAATCAGAAAGCGGTGAGCTGCCAAATGTGGTACTGATTTGATTCCTACAATTAAAACAAGGCAATGATGGGAATATTAAAAGGGCCGATTAGATTAGAGTAGAGATCCACCAGGCTCCTGGCTTTAAAAGCACGCTCACAGCCGGCATTAACTGTTTATAATTATATCTCCTGGCTGGCTCCTATCATAATTATGGTCCCTCGCGAGCCGCACTGGTTACGCAGTTTGATTATTGAATACTGATTCATCTTTGTTCCATTCAATTATTGGATACGTGCTAATGTTTTATCTTTTATTACGGAGTTTTTGAAATTTTGATTTCGTCACGCCAGCACTCCAGCCTATAACAAGCGGGAATTATAAAAACAAAATAGAACACCATAAGGCAGAACAAATCGTATATAGCCAATTCAAATGTGCAAATACATGATTACAAGCTGCCTCAACCTTGCTGGGTTTAACTTCATTAAGATAGCAAATGGGGCATGCCAAGGGACCAAGTAGGTGTAATAACAAAATCTGAGTAACATGCCCAACCAATTCAACTTGCAACCCGATCGTAATTTGAGTCGATTAAAAGTTAATGACTCTCAATCTGATTGACCCGCAACCCGATTGATATGTAACTCGATTGAATTGCAATTTGATTGACCTGCAACTCGATAGATCCATGATCCGGTTGCCCAACCCAAACTTGCCCGATTGACCCTAATAATTACTTTTACTACGTAGTATATAGTCTTGCCGAACAATTAATTTTTTTCATGAAACTGAAGTGAATTCATTTTTCCATCGGAGTACATCCACATTTAGCAAGTAGTTGAGTATTGACTCACCTAAACTACACTTTAGATCAAAGACCAAGTGTCACCGATGACCAGGTGCAGTATAGTGGAAATAAAGTAATAAAACTATCGAACTTTAAGGCATCTAGATGTACTCTTACTCAGCTTCGCCTTTTGTTTGTTGTCTAGCCAATCGAAGTTTGAAAATAAAAAACTAAATTATTTTATGGTTAATCTATCTAATTACAAGTTACAGGCTCACTTGGGTGTTCGAATCCACCTAGCCACCAACCGAATTGAGATTGATAAGTCTCTAACTTCTTCCACTCCCGTCTATAATGCGAAGGATCCTTGACTAGACCTTGAATTTTGATTAAAGTAATGAAGACCCTCTTGATTCGGTAGTCTAGAGGGGCTTACCCTTCTCTAGTACAACTGATCAAGGCATTCTACACTAGATCACCTCTGTTGGGAGAGGTTCACACTCAATACAAAGCATGAATTGACTCTCGCACAATCGACCCCCTTTCTTCTAGTCTATGGTGCTCTAATTGACCCAATCAGGTATTCCCTTTCCTAGGTCAATAGTCAAATCAATAATCTTGATTAAAGCAAAATTGAACATCAAAACATGCATAGATTGGATATGAACTTGAGTTTAGAAAGAAAGATGTTAGGAACCCACTTTCTAGGGCTTCTAGGGACTGATATTCGACACCTGCGATTATTCGTCACAATAAAGATTTAGGAATTTGGGGATAGAGATTAGAAAATTAGAGATAAGAATTGTGGATTAGGGATTGAAGAACATAATTGGGAAGAACTGGCCGGTGAGCTTTGGGGGAGAGAAGGACAGAGATTTGATAGGATTTGGGAGAGATTAGAGATAGATACTTTTCTTAATATTTTTCTTACTTGATTATGATGTTAACCTAAAGTACATATTTATAAGGAAAATAAGAAAAAAATCCTAATAATAACCCTAATACGAAAAAATCTCTACTCACCATAATAATAATTATTCTACTAAAATAATAAGAGAAACCCACGAAAATTGGGTGATAACTCGATATTTGTACATGTTTTTGTCCACCATTCGTACACTGTTTGAGGCTCGATTCTCGTGTTTTAAGCCAATTTCACGCTAGGTTGTTCTCGTATGATGTATTTCAGGTCTGGGATCAGTTGTGCATGTTTGGAGGCGAGTTTCGGGTCAAAAGCACCAAGTGGACGATAGACGGAGCTCGAAGACTAAAATCCCCGGTCCGCCCATCAAATACCCGACCAGGGAAATGCAATAGGAGCAATGCAGTCAAAAGCGTGGTTCTACCTAGAAGCGGTTGGATGAACTAGAAGCGTAAAACCGTAAGATTTTAAGCGAAGATCTTGACTACATTTGTAAGGGAAAATCATGATTCTTCATAGAAGCGTTTTGTTGACCTAAAAAGGTAAATGCGTAAGCTTTTAAGTTTTAAAGCACGATTTTGACTACATTGAATAGGATGTCGGGGAAGTCATCCAGGGATTTTCCCCGGTCTAGGCCCCTTATTCCCTGATCGGGGAATCCCACCTGAGACAATCTCCTCCCCTTGAAAAGCGACCTTGCCCTCAAGGTTGCAGTCAACTTTCACCTTCTTTATCCTCCGCTTCCTTCGTTTCCAGTTTCGCTCCATCTTGCGAATGAACACTTCTCCAACAACTTCAACTTCCCTTGACTCTTCTCCACCCACGTGATATATGTCACATTCTCCATAGCCGAACATTATGAAAAAAAACAAACCATACAAAATAAAAAAAACAACCAGGTTGACTTTGGAGGCTTCATCCTAATATAGAGGAGTTCCATCCAAAAGTCAACCAGGTTATTTTTTATACATAAAAACATTACTAACATGGGTGACTAAAATGACAAACATGGTTCACAAAAATAACAATGCTTACAAACATTACAAAAGAAACGGACAAATACAAAGCATATTAACCGTACGAAATGTCACTAAAAATAACAAACAAGAATGATAAACAATACAAACCGAATCGATACAAACATTACAAACCAGACCTACAAACATTACAAAATAGGTCAACAAACATCACAGATCCAACATTGTCGCCGGAAAAACCCTTCTCCGTCATTGTTGGTCGTCTGAAAGTCTGATCCGATCGCCGAGAAAGTCTTCTCCGCGAGGCAGAAAATCTCTCTCTCTCTCTCTTAGTTGTTGGGGGCACAAAAGCTTTTGGGGACTAAAAAATCCCCCGCCGGAGAATTCCCCAGAAAAGAAAGGAAACGACTACCGTTCAGGTGGAGGACAACACTTTATTTTTTTAATTATTAAATAAATTAATTATATAATTACTATCTTACTCTTCATTTACTAGATAAATTTCAACTATTAAATTTTAATGAGATTCAATAACTAAGGTTAGCTTAATTATATAACTAAGAGACTCACTAGTCACCTGATATTAGCCCAAACACTACGCCCAAATAACACATTCAAACCAGTCATTTTAGACATTTTGGGGAAAACTCCCACTACCTTATCTCCTCCCAAGTCACTCGTAGAGTCGTAGTATCAGTTGGGAAGAAGCCGATCAGAGTCTAATCCTTTTGATCTCAACAGTTTTCCTCTGCTTTGCACTGCTCTTTGTGGCCAGAAACCAAACACGTGACACTGGGGAGCATGGCCACCACGCCCAGCCTTCTCCGATCCTCTGTTCTTCCCAGCTCGAACCTTCACCGCCATGCTTCCCGCATCCACTGCAATTTACTCCCTCCCTCTCTGCCCACTCCATCGTCGAATACCCAGCTCCCTAATCCCATCGTTAACCCCCATAAGCTCATCGCCGGCGCCGTTACCCATCTGGGCTCGGCTTCTCTGCCGCTCGCCGCAGCCGCATTGCCATTCTTTTTAGATACCAAGGTTCCATCCTTTTTGTTGCTTTATGTTTGTCGGGTTTTCGGTTTTTCTCTCGAATTGGCTCTCGATTTTGCTGAATGAGGGTTTCTATTGACAGGATGCGGTGGCGGCGGGAGGGGAATTTGGGTTATTGGAAGGGAGGAGTTTGGCCCTTGTTCATCCGATTGTGATGGGCGGGCTCTTCTTCTACACATTGTGGGCAGGGTATTTGGGTTGGCAATGGAGGCGGGTGAGGACGATTCAGAGCGAAATCAGTGAGCTGAAGAAGCAAGTCAAGCCTGCTGCAGTTACCCCTGACGGGAGCCCTGCTGCACCGCCGGCGGCTCCTTCCCCTGTCGAATCCAAAATTCAGCAGCTCACCGAGGTTAGGAAAGTTAATCTTCTTCTTTTGAGGATTTCGATAGCAATTTAATGAAACTTTGGCGGTGGGCAGGAGAGGAAAGAATTGCTGAAAGGAGGGTTCAGGGACAAGCACCATGACGCTGGGTCGATTTTGCTGGCATTTGGAGTGCTTGAATCAGTTGGGGGAGGGCTCAACACCTGGCTCAGGACTGGGAAGCTCTTCCCTGGTCCTCATCTGTTTGCAGGATCAGGTACATTTTAACATTGCTGTAAACTATGAGAATGGATGATCCCCATTACAGTCAAAAGCGTGATTCTTCGTAGAAGCGTTTTCGTAACCGTAAAAGTATAAGCTTTAAACTTTAAAGCCCAATTTTGATTACTACACTTGTATAATTTGAAGTACTAGAAATGAAATTGTTATCAGCATGGCATTTGGATCCTCGGGTCCTCTGCTTGAATCCTACCTACTGCTTGAAATGGTCAACATTAATGGGCTTGTTTGTTGTCTGGTGTTTTTTTGTAACAGCAATAACGGTGTTATGGGCATTGGCAGCAGCTCTAGTCCCGGCAATGCAGAAAGGGAACGAGACAGCCAGAAATCTTCACATTGCCTTGAACGTGGCCAATGTTCTGCTCTTTGTCTGGCAGATCCCTACTGGGCTCGACATTGTTCTCAAGGTCTTCGAGTTCACAAAATGGCCTTGAGTTGCAGCCAACCTTCCTTCTTTCACTAGATGATTCATATCATATTGTATACTATGTTGTAAAATTTAATCTCGCTGTTCTATACATTTCCATCGTGAAATCTTCCTTTTGTAAGTCGTTTCTAGATGTCGGCTTTATTACCAACCTAGAGGTTTCTGGTTTGAGACTGTAAGTCTGTAACAGAAGCAAAGGAACAAGAAACTGGCTACATTAAATAAAATAAAAAATTCTAGATCTTTCTTTTAATCAAAGAGGTATTTTGGGAGTTTTGAAAAAATTCAGGAATCATTAGAGGTGTGTGATTGGTTAGCGGTGCAATTCGAGGTTAAACCGTTAATTGTATAACCATTTATCACCCCTAGTTCATATATATGTGGAGGGAAGAAATCGAGAGATTAGTTTTGGGAATTTTAATTCCTATAATTAATTAAGGGATAATTTGCAATTTCCAAAAGTCCAGGACAGGGTTTATATACATTCCAAATAAAAAAACAAAAAAAAAACATCACAGATGTGGAACATTGATTACAATTTGACCATGGCAAATGGCCAAAAACCAACTCCTTGACAGAAAAAGATCATCAACAAGAAGAGCAGGAAGACAACTTCTTCAGCTCACTGATCTCCATATCCGCTCCCGAAATCACGTCGATCTTATCCCCCTGCAGCGCCCCGCCGTTGGCCTTGGCCGGATCGGCGGAGGAATCCAGGGACTTCTTCGACACGGCGGCGTAGATGTGCTCCAGCACCCGGAAGAAGGCCTTGTCCACGTTGTCCCCGCTCAATGCGGAGGCCTCGGAGAAGAAGAGCCCCTGCTCCTCGGCGAACTCGACGGCGTCCTCCGTCGTGACGGCGCGGTGGTCGGCGGCAAGGTCGGCCTTGTTGCCGATCAGCATGATGACGATGGAGCTGTCGGCGTGCGCACGGAGCTCCTCCACCCACCTCGCCACGTGGTCGAACGTCGGCCGCTTCGTGATGTCGTACACCAGCATCGCTCCCAGCGCTCCCCTGTAGTATGCGCTCGTCACGGCCCGGTACCTGCACAAGCCAAATCGGCAGCAGCCGATTAGATAAGGTTATCAACGGTGATGAAGATATCGTATTGTACTGGTGATTCGATTGGATATTTTATGCTCAACTAAAAAAAACCCAGCTCTAATACGAGAAGTAGGCTTTAGGGGAGAGTTCTTGCTTCTTCTTCTACTATCATAAACCAGTTGGTCTCAATAATTCGAGTTGTTGATAGAATATACACATCACCACTTGGCCAAACCAGCTCTGATACCATGTCATAAATCAGTTGGTCCCAATAATTCGAATTGTTAGGAGAAGGTTATATTAAATCTTATACATCTCTAACATCCATCAACAAGTGCCACTGAACAATCATCATCGTCACCCCTTCGTCGTTGTCGTTGCCTCTAGATTAAAATTTATGTTTGGGAAAGATTTCTTATTTTTAGCATAGGATTTTTTATTTTATAAGAGTAGAGTAACGGTAGTCTTCATACTGCAATGGTCAGAAGTCCCGTCAGGCCCTCTTGAAACGAGAATATTCAAAGAATATAATTGAATGAATCAAGTAAAACAGATCAGCCCAGGTCAAAGAAACGAGTGGGAAATTCTGATTCTTTTTTCTGTAAACATTTTTAAAATTATTTTTTGTTTCATTTGTTTATATTGGTTGGAACCACAACATTTGATCTAGACGAGCATCAAGCTGGCGTATAATAATAGGTATTTTATTCTGATAAACTGATATGGTTCACTGTTACTTTTCATTTTCATTTACTTGGTTTGGATAACATGATACGCTAAACAACGCGCTAATTTGGGATTCACCCAAATCAATGATCCTAATTTTCTATTCGATTTCTAACAAAAGTCATAATAAACTATCAAGTCGCGAAGCACAGAATTCAATACTTTTTCATTCTACTTCCATAGTTTCCCAAGGTTAGGTAAAGACTATAGCTCGAAAGAAGTGGAGGAGCCACGTTGAGCTTAGGGTGGGCTATAGTCCCCCTCGACTTTCATAAATAGGTAAATTTACATGAAAAAATGTGTAACAAATTCTAAAAATAGACTAGTTGGTAAGCCACTAACTCCCCCTCACCAAACGTATATCTTTCAGCTCTCTCGTTCAAATTTCTGGCTCCGCCATTGCTCCGAAAGTATTTGTTTCGAAAGGCTTGCACCTAAGCAAGTAAAGAAGGACGATCTGAGACCGTGCTTTATGTGTTTTTCTTGTGTTGGGCTTGGTGAATCGGAAATGGGCCAGTCTAGAAGACAATCCAATGTGGAGGTTGCACCTAATAGGTGGCTTGTTTGTCAGAGCAAGCAAGCATCAATTATTGCAGGTTCTGGAGGTCATCTCTCTTTCCTTCATCACTCATCGTACAAAGACAGACAATTATCTCCCATCCCTTTTTTTTTTTCTTTTCTCTATTTTTGTTTCTTTTCCATTTACGAATTGCCTTGTATTTCTCCATCTGTACAAGATGAAGACAAAAGTTTGAGCTAAAGCCACAGATCGGGCAAGGTCGGTCCTCCTAGCCAACCTAACAGTACTCTGCTTTTCCTTTCTCTCACCAGCTGAGAGCAGCAGTAACTCCGAGGCAATTTTGTTTGTTAGTATAAAATACGCTACCACTGAGTTTTCCTCTACAAACTTCGGTACGTTATTTCAAACCTAGCTCATAAGTCATAACCTTACTTAATTACACTTAGAAACGGTTGACTAAAGAGATAATGCATGTTGTGAAGGTCTGCCTTAACTGTCGATTTGTGGTTAGCTAATTCGCAATCCTTTATCCAGTCGAGGTTGTGGTTAACCTGCAAAAATGAGCATATTGCTAACCGCAGCCTCATAAGAGCCTTGTTATTCGGTTTTAACCGCAAACCGTGCAATTTTGATGTGGTTAGCAATTTAATCGCGAAAAAAAATCAAATATCCTCCCATTCTCACTCACAAAGATCAACATTGGATGAATGTAGTATACTTCATGAACAAAATTACCATCACATTCATCCAACGATACCAGACATCTCATCTACGAGCACATTCTCACATGTAGCACTAGAACGAGTTATTTAACGACGAGCTGGCTGCCTAATGCCTATGCCAAGTTGGAGGATCCGATATTCGGATCCCAAAGATGAGGAAGATATAAACAAAAACTAACGCCAATCCACTCAATTATTATTTAACGATGCCGCCCATCTAACTACCCTACTGTCACTATTATATTTATGATTACTGCGACCATCGCCCTATTAAATTCCAGTAATTAACACAGATTCTGCTCCTCCAAGCAGAGAAGATATTCATGGATTTCTCTTTTCAAACGATTTTTAATTTCAAGATTCGAACTCAAACTGTGACGATTACGGTCAGTCTCTACTGGCTTTAATTAATTGAAAGGGGGAAGAGGAGGAAACCAACCTTTCCTGGCCGGCGGTGTCCCAGATCTGGGCCTTGATGACCTTGCCCTTTATGCTGACGGTGCGGGTCTGGAACTCGACCCCAATTGTGGATTTGGAGTCGAAGCAGAACTCGTTCTTGGTGAATCGGGCCAGCAGCTGAGTCTTCCCCACCGCCGAGTCGCCAATCACCACGACCTTGAACACGTAGTCTATGCTGTCCGCAGGGACGGCGCCGCCGCCGTCTCGCCGCCCGTGGGCCTCCGCCTCCACTCCGGTCATCTCCTGATTCATCTTCCACTTCCGGCACTGAAAAGAGAAGAGTTGGCGTCGCTTGTGCGTGGTGGAGAATGGGAGATAGAGAGAGAGAGAGGGAAACACGGAACGGAAGCGAAGGTGGCAAGAGTTTATTGGGTCTAAGTGGGAGAGTGAATAAAGGAAAAAGGAGGAGGATTCGACAGGAAATCTGCTACGAAGCCGACAGAGACTTCACCAATTGCGGGTAGGGAAGAGAAATCACGGGGAAGACGCTGGTGATGATTTGGGCCAGATGATAAAGGGAGAAAAGGGCCAACCAAACAGTAAAAAACGAGGGACTTTTTGGGTGTTTGAAGGAGAAAAGAGAAAACAGCCTCTTATTGCAAAAGTGTAACACCGGGACATGGTTGTCACGCCTGCCGGCGTACCACTAGTTGAACTTGGTTCAACCTGTACCGGTCATAAAACCGGTATGACACTATCGGTATGACCGGTATGATCGATATACGAATCTCTAAGTAAAATGATCTTATATTAGTGAATTTATTTGATAAAAAGTAATTTATTATTTATTTTATGTGTTAAAAAGTTAAATGTTGATGTTATTTGTTGGATTCAAGTACAAATATTTAGGTATTGACGTTAAATGTCGTGCTTAAATATGAGTATTTGTAAATTATTTGTAATATTAACCGGCATGAACCGGTATGTACCACCGGTCGAACCATTCGACTTGCTAAACCGGCACACTGGCACAAACCGGTTTGACAACCTTGCACCGGGATGTAAGGATTACATTTCGGCGGGGTGGGCAATTTTGGAGGGTTGGGTAGATTTTGGTTTCAAATTGATTTCGTTTATTCATGAGTTGGTATAATTGGGTGTCGTTATCTATTCGCTTCGCTGACTTAAATTTTTTTGCATTATTCTTTTGGATGGACTCCAAAATATGGGGAGTTTCAAAAGCTTGTAAAAGTGAGATTTCAAAATAACTTATCCCCAACTATTTTAAAATCGCTCACTTATTTTTTCCCCCAAACAATTATTTCTTCTAACCATCACCAATGCCGAATAATCACCATCTCCTTCCTATCCCCGTTTGTCCCACTGCTCGGGCCTTTCGACTTCCACTTCCCACCGACCATCCGCGAATTCGCCAGATTCGAAGCAACCGAGAACCGATTCCAAGCGCCCATGGTGAAGAGCTCCATTTCCAAACTCTTTAGTTCTGAATTTCTGGATGAGAATCCTAATCCCTAAACGAAACCCCGACTAGAAATGAGACTATGAAACTAACGCTGTGAAACATCAAATATGCAGAACTCGGATGGTGAAATTTCATATGACCCATCAGATAGAAGAGAATGAAGAAAGATAGTGACGGGTAATCTGAAGTAAGATGTTGTTATTGTGTAGATAACGAGAGAGAGCGAAGAAGTTGAGAAGAGCTTTGCAAGGACACCAGAGGTTGGCGAGGATGCCTAAGACTCGTGTTGTCGCCTGAGGTTTCTAAGGACGCTAGAGAGGCACGAATTTTAGATTTGTTTGTTTTTTAGTTTCGGGTTTTCTGTTACTCAAGAAGAATCCAAAAATGATCGTCTAGGAAACAAGAACTAAGAAGGTTCTTTTGCAGACCGACTCAACAACGACAGTGCACCTCATTGAGTCGGCGACGCCAGAGCATCTCCACTACATCAACATTGCGGAGATTCGACAGTGGTTACAATGTGATTGGGAGGTTCATATCACCCATGTCTATATAGAGGCGAACATAGTTGTTGATTACTTGGCCGGTATAGGCCACTCTTTTCCTATCAGTAGACATCTGGTTGCTCTTCCCTATAGTAGCTTGTCTTATTGGTTATTTCATGACATTATTGGGGTTCAGACCACTCGTTTGATTATTGAATAAAGGTTGGAGCTCCCTTTTGCGCTCCGTTTCACACACAAAAAAAAAGGAAGGAGGAAGAAAATGAGGGCAAATTTGTATATAAATAAACAAGTAATTTGCTCCAAATACTTCACTTAAATTGCCAAAAATTTTAAGTGAGAGATTTGGGTTCAAATCCCTAATAAATCTATCAAACAAATTGCGACCCTTTGGAGAATTAAAGTCTATATTTATAAATTATAAATAATTTACAAATTATAAATATATGAATACCAATTACCAGAGAAGGAAGAAAATCTTCTTCCTCTCACCCTTTGAGAGATAGATCTTTCATTATTTGATATGGGCATTGCTATTCATCGCCCTAAAAATTCTTATTCGTCGCCCTAATTATGTTAAATTTACTCTAATGCCCTTCGCTTATTTTTTTTCTTCTTTTCTTTCAAACACTTATATCCAAAACAAACCCATTAACTACCAAATAACAAAAACACACCAATATAATCAATTGATCAATGAACAAATCGGGTTTACCGTTTACGGATAAATCCAAAAACAAAATTACTATCCTATATTGATTACAATTAGGCATTAGCCATCTAATGATTCTGATCTAAACCAAAAATTGTTCTGCAACAAAATGCAGGGCAAATTACAAACAAAATGCAGGGCAAATTACACACTGCAAATCATTATTAAATGCAGACTAATCAAATACATGAAAAACAATCCATGTCGTCTTCGTCTTCTTCTTAATTTACTCGTTCAGATGTCCTTCTTCCCCCTCCTGTCGGGCCGGCTTCTTCTTCCTCCTCGCGATCAGCCCTCTTCTTCCTTCCTGGTTCTTTCTTCCTTCTTCATCCTTCTTCTCGAGAGCAACCGCAGCAGGAGCAATGGGGCGGCGGTACAAGGAGCAGCAGCGACGGAAGAAGAAACCTCCTTTTGAGAGTGTCAGTGGAACCGAGCTGGTGGACGGCAGTGGCAGCAGCAATGGAAAGGGTGGGTGACAGACTTTCTTGCCCAAATGTAGAGGTGGGGGATCGGGTTTGGACTGAGATGAGACCTTAGGGATTGTTTGCTTAGTGTACGGTTTAGAAATTAAGGTTAGGGTTAAAAGTGTGAATTCAATGTGTTTTAGGGTGATAAAATTTAAATTTTAGAGCGACGAATAGCGATTCAGTTTGATATTTGTGATGGTAAATATTGCATAAAAATTCATAATTATGATTTTGTAACAAATGACAAGTTACTCTCAATCAAAAAGAAGCATAGGGTTTTGTATATTTAGCATGGTAAAGGAAACCGTACCGGACATCATACCGGATTCCTTTCTGGTATGGTATTTTGTGGTACGACCGTGGTTCAACCGTTTTGTACCGGTAAATACCGTTTTTCACTATTGATAGAGAAATGAAATGCGATAGTATAAAAAATATAATCCATAAAAAAAAGAACCAAATAGAGCATTATACAACCACGGTGACCCATTTTCAACATAGAAAAATAACAAAATAATCTTCTTTTTTAATTATTTTCCACATATTGGACGAGAATACGGAGAAATGAAGCTGAATCATAGACCAGGAAACCGGATCGTACCGGCCGGTTCAACCGGTCAAACCGAAAAAACCGGCCAGCACGGCAAAATCAACACAATCAGCCCACCGTACCGCTTTTGGTCAAATTTCCGGTTGAACCGGTTGAACCGGCCGGTGCGATCCGGTTTCCTGGTCTATGATATTTAGTAATAATAATGCAAAATTATAGAATATGTGGAATTGAGGAATTTTTTAAGTTTATTTATGCTAATTGGATGGTGACGTCTGACGTGATGGGTTGACCGTTAGTCAATGGGTTTGACCGTTCAAGATAATAGTCAAATTTCGAATTTGGTCAATTTCGTAACTTTGATACATAGTTGAGACCACGAAGTTATAAATTGAAAAAATTAACCAGAATGTTTAATATGTAAAAAGTTTGGTCCATACAATTACATTAACCCAAAGTTAATATTTCAAAAATTAATTAGGATAAAATATAGTTTAAGTACTATAATAGGTAACCCCCATATTTCAGGGGCCAATATTACAACTAACTCATTAAATTTCATTTCTCTTTCCTTTTAGGTGCTATCTGATTTGGCTGCTGGTGCTGGACCGAAAACATTTTTTTCCAGCAAAATCGCTCCGTGCATTTTCCCGGGAAAGTTCCTACAACCCAAACCGCTGAAGAAGCTTTGCTTCTGAACGAACTTTCTGCTTTACTTCCTCCCACCGTCCCAATTCCCAGGTCTCCGTTCTTTTGCTCTTCTCTTGAACTGGAATTTTGACTCGCCACTTGTAGATTCTTTAGTTAACATTCATCGTATTCAGCAGCAGGATATTGACTCTTGTTCATCTTTCTTCTTGTTTCCTTTTAATCTGCCGACAAGATCTTTTGTGTTTGTCGTTTCAAATTGGGCTTGAGCTATTTTCAGTTATTCTTTCCCCTTTTTGAGGTTGGTTTGTCTTCATCTACGATTTTGGGAAGCATTCCATTCGCGTTTAAGTTATACACAGTTGAGTTGATTATCAATTGGAGGGTTTCTCCAAGTTGTGACTTTGTAATTGACTACTGAACATTCAGCAGGTGATTAATTGCAATGAAACTTGATTCAGGCTAACAGGCTCGGGACGGTTGTCTTGCAGCAACCGCATAATCATCATGGGTTTTACTTCCTAGGTAATGAATTGGACCATTTGGTGTCTGTCTTGTGATGGTCCTGGATGTCATGGATAGTGCCTCAGGTCCTGCTTCAGAACTTCTTTCCCAGATTGTGGAGGGAATGGTTGAGATCATTGGTTCTGCCAAAGAAGTTTTCCTGAAAAAGTGCTGCTTTCAGGAGCTGGCCTTGTACCTGGAGAGGATTGTTCCTGTCCTGAAAGAGTTGAATGCAAAGGATTTAGGTAGCTCTGAGGGCTTAACTAATGCCATTGAGATTCTGAACCGGGAAGTCAAGGCTGCAAAGCGCCTGACTGCGGATTGCGCCACAAGGAACAAGGTTTATCTGCTGATGAATTCGAGAAACATCACCAGGCATTTACAGGACATATCGAGAGAAATCAGCAGGGCTATAGGTCTTCTTCCTATGGCTACTCTGGATCTCGCATCTGGCATTTTTGAGGACATCACTGGCCTTTGTGATGAAATGCAAAGGGCCGAGTTCAAGGCATCTGTAGCAGAAGAAGAGATACTGGAGAGGATTGAGTCGGGTATACAGGAGCGAAAAGTGGACCGTTCTTATGCCAACAGCTTGCTTGCTCAAATAGCTGAAACAGTAGGAATTTCGAAAGAGCGGTTCGTGTTGAAGAAAGAACTTGAGGAATTCAAGGACGAAATTGAAAATGCAAAACTTAGGAAGGATCAGGCTGAAGCTATACAGATGGATCAGATCATTGCTTTGCTAGAAAGAGCAGACGCTGCCTCGTCTCCTAAAGAGAAAGAAAGAAAATACTTCACCAAGCGGAGGTCTTTGGGTAGCCAACCACTAGAACCACTTCAGTCATTCTATTGTCCAATTACTAGAGATGTTATGGTTGACCCTGTTGAAACTTCTTCAGGCCAGACATTTGAGAGAAGTGCCATCGAGAAGTGGATGGCTGAGGGGAACAATTTGTGTCCTTTAACTATTACCCCCCTAGACACATCAGTTCTTCGTCCAAACAAAACATTGAGGCAATCAATAGAAGAATGGAAAGATAGAAACACAATGATCACAATTGCTACCATGAAGTCAAAACTCGAATCTGAAGAAGAGGACGAAGTTCTTGGATGTCTGGGACAGTTGGAAGATCTGTGCTTACAGAATGATCAGCATCGAGAATGGATGGTGCTGGAGAACTACATTCCTGTTATTATTCAACTGCTCAGTTCAAAAAATCGTGATGTTCGTCATAATGCTCTTGACATCCTATGCATTCTGGCAAAAGATAGCGATGACGCAAAGGTATCATGGCTTTTAATATTGTGATTTTCTTATATCCGTTGTCTTTCTCCTCATTTAAGCCTGCACACCCTCTTTTCATTTATCCATTGGCCATCTATATGAGCATCATGATAGGGGAATATTTTGCATGTTCTTGATTTCTTTCTTTGTGAGATCCATGGCTACTGTTACTTTATTCCTCTACCCTAGGTTTGTTACAGAATGGTCTTCACCATTAAGTTAACCAAAGATCCATCCTAATGTATAGGAAAGAGTTGCACATGCTAATAATGCGATCGAGTTGATTGTTCGATCGCTTGGACGGCGTACTGGGGAAAGAAAGTTGGCAGTGGCATTGCTGTTAGAACTATCAAAATGCAATAAAGTGAAGGACTCCATTGGGAAGGTACAAGGTTGCATTCTCCTATTGGTGACCATGTCAAGAAGTGATGACAGTCAAGCTGCCGCAGATGCAAAACAGCTACTGGACAATCTCTCTTTCTCTGATCATAACATCATACAAATGGCAAAAGCAAACTATTTCAGACATTTTCTGCTAAGACTATCAACTGGTAAGTTAAGTGTATGCAACAGCTTTTATGTTGCTTATTTCTGAAGTTTGGGTCTTCATATACCCCTCTGTGTAACCTGGACAACAAATGTAAGGTATTTGGAAATTCAAGGAGAATGGAACAAACTGCTAACACTTATTATGATATGGTGTTTATACCCTACTTACGCATACAAAAAAATGTTATTCATCTTTGGGATAACAGGCAATTCCCCTTCAAGTGAATGCTCTACCTGAATGGGGTCCCTCTAAATTTTACATTTGCCTTCCTTTGGAGTTGCATTGACCATGCTAGACCATCTCACACTTCTATTGGACCTTTTACTTTTGGTCATGCAGGGCCAGATGATGCAAAATTCATGATGGCATCAACTTTGGCCGAAACAGAGTTGACTGATCACAATAAGGCATCTCTGTATGATGGAGGTGTACTCAGTCCCCTTCTTCACTTGGTCTCAAGTGATGATATTCATATGAAAACAGTGGCAGTAAAAGCTATCCGGAATCTCTCAAGCTTACCTGAAAATGGCCGAAAGATGATTGAACAAGGGATAGTACGACCATTGCTCGACATTCTTTTCCGACACGGTTCATCATCGTCCTCAAATTTGCGGGAACAGGTTGCAGTCACGATTATGCACCTTGCAAGATCTACAGTGTCTCAGGAGGAATCCAGCCCAGTTCCAGTTTCTTTGTTGGAAACTGATGAAGATACGTTCATGCTTTTCTCTTTGGTGAACCTCACAGGGCCTGCAGTGCAACAGAGAATTCTCCAAACCTTCCAAGCCTTGTGCCACTCCCCCTCAGCATCATATATCAAAATCAAGTTGATTGAGGTATGCAAGAGGTTATATGTGTCTATCATGCATATTTGCTATTTTAGTTCATCAAGATAAGAGACCTAACAGTATGTACGCTAGTGTAAGTACCTCTAGTGGTTGCAATCAGCTAACAACTCAGCATGGATTGTTAATAAGTTATCTCATTGCACAAACTGCTGTTGCTTGTCTGCATCCTACCCAAGTATAACCTAGATTCATTTATGCAATGACAAAAGGCCTAGGCTTTGGGAGTGGGCAGCATGCTGCCTATTCTAGCCAATGCTTCATAAGGTTGCTAAGGTTTTAAGGATTCATATAAAGATGTTGTGGAGCAAAGAGCAAGCAGGATGAAATTGCCCTCTTTTTCTTTGTGATGTTTCTTGTCTGATGACACTTCTTAGTTCTTTATTGGACATATGAAATATAAAGTTGATTTCTTGTTGGATTTTTTATTTTTCAGTTGATCTCCTCCGTTGTTTGCAATTATAACCTGCTTATTTATTTTGTCTATCCATGTTGAGTTTCTATAAGTGAAGCCATCAACGATGCTACCATATATGATATACCTAACACCAAACTTGTTGATTGCAGTCATCCGCCGTGCAAGCGTTAGTTCAACTGTGTGAGCACGAGAACTCAGATGTCCGATCAAATGCTCTGAAGCTGTTCTGTTACCTCGTAAAAGATTGTGAAACAGAAATTATCATGGAACACGTTGGCAAAGAGTATATAGACACCTTGGTGAAAATCATCCAGAAATCAGATGATACCGAAGAAGCTGTTTCTGCATTAGGCATTATCTCTCACCTCCCAGAAGAACCACAGATCATCACAGAATGGCTTCAAGATTCTGGTGCGCTTCGAGTAATCTTCAAATTTCTTCAAGACAAAACTAAGAAGAACGATCCCCACAAAAATCAGCTTGTTGAGAATGCAGTGGGAGCCATGCATCGTTTCACTTTGCCAACTAACCTGGAACGGCAAAAGAAAGCAGCAGAAATTGGGCTTATTCCAGTGCTAGTGAAGTTACTGGACTCGGGAACTACTACCTTGACAAGGAAGTATGCTGCCACTTGTCTAGCTCAATTTTCACAGAGTTCATTTTCCTTGAGCCAACAATTGACAAGGCACAAGGGAATGCTCTGGTGCTTCTCGGCCCAGCACGATCCCGGATGCATTGTCCATGGGGGGATCTGTACCGTCGAATCGTCATTCTGCCTTGTGGAGGCTGATGCCATACGGCCTCTAGTAAGAGTTCTCGAGGACCCCGACTTTGGGGTGTGTGAAGCCTCTTTAGATGCACTCTTGACACTGATTGAAGCCGAGAGACTGCAATGTGGTAGCAAAGTGCTGGCAGAAGCAGATGCTATTCCCTCCATGATAAGATTCCTTAGTTCTTCTACCTCATGCCCTAGCCTGCAGGAGAAGGCTTTGTGTGGCTTGGAAAGGATTTTCCGGCTGCCGGAATTCAAACTGAAGTACGGCCAGTCTGCTCAAATGCCTTTGGTTGACCTGACACAGAGAGGAAGCCACCACGTGAAGTCTCTCTCTGCCCGGATCCTGGCTCACTTGAATGTGCTCCATGATCAGTCATCCTTCTTTTGAAACACTTATTTAGCAGAACAATACAGCCACAATAGTCCATTTGATTTGATTATTATTTGGTCTGAGATGATGAAAGGGCCAAACGAAGTTCTTGTCTCCTGTAGAGGGAAAGCAAAGCAAATCCAGTTGATCTTGTGGATAGAGGGATCGTAATTAGTTTTACTTTTTGGCTAATTTATGGAAGACAAAAATTGTTGTAGGGCTATTCCCTAACAACTCAGCTGTAGAGTTTGGTTTTTGTTGTAAATTTGTAATTTCTATTGCAGAGCTTTGTAACTTTCCTCCGTTTTACCTGCTTTTTCATTATGCACCTTTGTCCCCTTCGCACCCATTTCATTATTTTTCAGTAGAAACGGAATTCTCTGCTAAGCTCAGCAGCCGGTTGTCAAATTGGATTACTAAGTAACAAGACATCTCATGATTTTAAAATGAGTGTTCAACAAGCCATCAATTTAAGTTGGCTTGCAAGGATAAGAAACACGGGTCTAGGTGTATCCGTCTAGAGTTCGTATATGAGGGATTGATTGATAAATTGGAATTTTGGGAAAAAAATAGGGAAATTGGGAATTGAGAAATGAAGCTTGAGAAAGAAGAAAGAACGCGGTCTCCACGAGAAAGAGTGGAGGTCGACGGCTAGGGTAGAAAGAGAGAGAGAGAGAGAGAGAGAGATTTCGGGTCTAGAGGGAGGAAGAAAGAAGCAGTAGGTTTAGAGAATAATTGTTCTATTATTTTTTAATGAATGTAATCTCACTAATTACAGAATATATAAGTCGATAAATTCTTTATAACTACCCAATTATAATACCTAGCTCCAAAAACACCCAAATGTTCCGGAAAACCTCCAAAACCTCTAAAATATCCAACACAAGACTAAACCACAGTTAGATAAAAAAATGACCCAAAATTTATGTTTCTAACAACAAGCCTCCCGAGCTGAACATTGTTTAGCTCAAAATTGACTTATTAGTAAACAAGACATATTTCAAATGAACTTTCCTAATTGAACGTAGAGTTGTTTATGAGCTCAAAACGAGTCAGATCACAAGTTGAGCTCAACAAATCATCAAATCAAACTGACTTGCGAACCTCACAAGTTGAACACGATTTAACTCAAATTTGACTCATTAATAAACGATACAAGTTTCAAACAAGTTTTCATAGTCGAATGTGCTCAGGTTTGCAGCCCTACTCTACTCCTAACTACTTGTCGTGACAAATTGGAGGGAAACCAAACTGATGACTTATCTGTCCCTAGCATTTTCAGGGCATCGGGAGTGTTATTGCTGAAGAAGATCGACGATCGGGGAAATCAGCTGATGCCAAGTTCTCTGTCTATTATACCTTCCTCGGCCTTCGGCTAAGATGTCAATTGAAGTTCTCCGTTATTCACCTTTGTCCCCGCCGCGCCCATTTCATTATTTTTCAGTGGAGACGGAATTCTTGTCCGAGGATTCTGCACAAAGAATTCTTTGGGATGAACCAGTTGAAGCAACTTCATGCTCATACCCTGAGGAAAGGCATTGACCAGGGAGCCCTGATCGGTGAACTCCTTCAAGTACCCAACATTCTTTACGCCCAGAAGGTGTTCGACCAAATTCCCAAACCACACGTTTTCCTCTACAACAAGCTCATTCAAGCTTACTCTTCCCACAAGGAACCCCACAGATGCCTTCATTTATTCTCTCAAATGTGCCGCACGCGTTGCAGGCCAAATGAACACACTTTCACTTTCCTTTTCGCAGCCTGTGCTTCCTTTTCTTCTCCCATCGGCGGTCAAGTTGTACATGGCTGCTTCGTGAAATCTGGGTTTGCCTCTGATTTCATTGCCTCCACTGCTTTAGTTGATGCGTATGCAAAGTTGAGATCGATAGGATCTGCACGCCGACTGTTCGATGAAATGCCTGTGAGAGACATTCCCACTTGGAATTCTCTGATTGCAGGGTATGGGAGGTGTGGGGACATGAATGCAGCGCTGGAGATTTTTAAATCGATGCCTCGAAAGAGTGTGGTGTCCTGGACTGCCATGATATCTGGGTACTCTCAGAATGGATTGTACTCCAATGCATTGGAATTCTTTTTGAAGATGGAGGAGGAGGAGGATGTGAAACCAAATGAAGTAACTATTGCCAGTGTACTACCTGCTTGTGCAAATCTAGGAGCTCTAGAAGTTGGGGAGAGAATTGATGCTTATGCTAGGGCAAATGGGTTGTTCAAAAACTCGTATGTCAGCAATGCTTTGTTGGAGATGTACTCAAAGTGTGGTAAAATTAGTATAGCAAGGGATTTGTTTCATGAAATGGGGAAGAGGAGAAATCTCTGTTCCTGGAACTCAATGATCATGGGCTTGGCCGTCCATGGTAGTAGCAATGAAGTTCTTGGGCTTTATGATGAAATGCTGGTAAGAATTCCTGCAGACTGGCTCCAAGTTTTAAGTATCTTCATCCGTACCCAGTAAAGTTCTCAGTAATTTGTCATTAACATGGTTTCCATGCTACAGAAAGAAGGAACTGCTGCACCTGATGATGTGACATTTGTCGGACTTCTACTCGCCTGCACTCATGGAGGCAGAGTTGCTAGAGGCAGGCAACTCTTTCAGTCAATGGAGATGGATTTTGGCATCTCCCCCAAATTGGAACATTACGGCTGTATGGTTGATCTCCTCGGCCGTGCTGGAGAGTTGAAAGAAGCTTATGATCTCGTCAAGCGAATGCCTATGAAACCAGATTCTGTAATATGGGGAGCACTTCTAGGTGCTTGCAGTTTTCATAACAAGAACGTCGAGCTGGCAGAAGTATCCGCTGAAGCTCTCTTCGAACTTGAGCCATGGAACCCAGGTAACTACGTTATTCTCTCCAACATTTATGCATCAGCAGGGCGCTGGGATGGGGTAGCGAAGCTCAGAAAGCTTATGAAAGGTGGCCAAATCACAAAAGCAGCAGGGTATAGTTTCATCGAAGTAACAGGCAGAGTTCACAAGTTTTTGGTTGAAGATGCATCACATCCTACAAGTGATGAGATATACAGTATTCTGAAGGCAATTTATTCCGCGATGGAAAAACATAAGGATGCGTGTGATTTTGTTTCTGAACTTGAAGAGTTATGCTCAATGGAATAGTCTTTATTACAAACTCATCAACTGTTTTTTTTAATATTAATTATTAGGCTAACATTTCCCGCATTCCTTTTATTAGTCTTCTCAGTGTGAATTCTTGTAGATCGTGGCCTAGCCAGCTTACTAATTATGTGCATATCAGGATGAAGTGTAGGCTAATAGTGCTTCTTTTAACTCTTAGGTTCACCAATATGTGTGAAACTTGTCACATAACAAGTCAATACTCTTTCAAGTTTATAGACGTCGTTCCAGGTTGAACGTGTTGACTCCACCACGGCATATTGAAAATTGCATTGTAGTGCATAATGCTTGATGCAAACTTGTGCAGCTTGTTTGAAATGAAAGATATGACCTTTATAGAATTCGCCTTCGAAACCAACACCAACATGAATTGGAATGATGCCATATGGTTCCACAAATGATAACTCGTCGTCATCTTCATTTCGGATTATTATACTCTTCTTCTTCCTCCTTCTCCTCCTCTTCCTCTTCATGATCGTGGTCGTCCAAATTAACGGTCAAAACATGTATCAGGCCAAATTAGTCTATATGATATATAGTTGAGACTATGATAACAATTTCTAAAATCACGAGCCAAAGTTGACTATTTGGGTATAGTTCGGGCCAATTTAAGGTATTAACCCTTTTAAAATTTAGTACCCATTATATCCCGATTTTTATTTCGGAACGATACTATGATTATAAAGCTACATTATTTTTATAAAAAAAATAAATTTTTATTCTTCAAACGATATTTTACCGGTATCAAACGGTTGAACCGCGGTCATACCACAAATTACCCTACAAAAGACGAGTATGGTATGACTTCTGCTACAGTTTCACAAACCATGTTTAAAATAAAATGAAATCGGACCTGTTTTTCTGCCACCTATATTACTGGAAACCAAATAAGATTGGATGCAATATGGATTTTGATTACAACCAGACTCATTTATATCAGTTTTCAATTTGATCGGAAAATTGAAATCGAATTCCCAACCTTAATCTCTATTATCCTGCACACAACTATTCTATATTATATATATATACATATATGGTGCCTTCTACGGTACCCGAGTGAAATCCGGGGTACCGTATACCTTGAGTATGAAAACGCTATCTAAACCTCGAATTAGTAGGATTTTTGGGCATGATACTATACCCTAACACCCTTAATGAGTGAACCCTAGGTCCTAATTATCCAAATCATAAACTATAAACCCTAAGATGGTGCATTGATTTTTTTGCCTATATTTGGACGAATCATAACTGTCGATTATTGTTTCTAATTAAATTGATCTTGGGGTATAAGATTTTGAGAATTAAGGCCTAGATTTTGATCTTTAATGGATAGAGTATAGTATCATGTCCGAAATATGAGTCAATTCAAGTTTTAAATAGCGTTTTCTTACTCAAGGTATGTGGCACCCCAGATTTCACTCTGAATACCGTAGAACTCTCTCTATATAAATACATATATAATATGACACACATTCATATAATATGGTATAAACTTATGTACTACTAAATATAATCATTATGATACACAAAATTAGAGTAGTCTTGCTTGTCAAAATGTCATCCTCTTTGATTATTTTGGAAAAAACTTGAATTGAGAAAAAAGTTATAATGTTACTTACAACATACGCTCCCCAATTTTCTTGCCATTAACTGAACGGCTGTGATTCATCCGCGCATGCATCTTTCCGAGAGAATACGTTAGGGGGTTCAGCAATAAGAAGCCGTAGAGTTCTTTCCCTTCAGCGTTCTAGGGTTTCACCAAGTTCAAGTTTCTCAGGTATGGCGCCCGATAATTCTCTTCCTTCTTTGCTCGATCGCTCTTCAGAAAAAATCAGATTTCCTGCTTCATAGCATCTCGTCTTCCGGATTTCTTTGGCTCTGTTGCTTTCTTCGCTAGTTCGATGTGGTTCGAGATTATGCATATTCTCTGATTTTCTTGTTTCCGGGCCTCTGAAGAAATGGCGCGACCGGTCTTTGTTGGCAACTTTGAGTACGAGACGAGGCAGTCCGAGTTGGAGCGCTTGTTCAGCAAGTATGGAAGGGTGGATCGAGTGGACATGAAATCTGGTATCGTAGTTTCGTGTTCTTGGTTTCTTTTGGTATTTGTTATATTCCAGAGCGTCATGTTTACTTATGATCAAACTCTCTGATTGTGGGGTTTCTTTTTGCTGCTCTTCCTTCATGCGTTTGCTATTTGAATTCCAGCGCTTAAGTTTGCTTTCAATTATATTCATGATCACCCTTTTAAGTTCTGCTGAAATTTGTTGTTTGGGATGGTGATGCTTTTGCTTTACAATCTTAGTATCCATGACAAGGAAATGAGAGGAGCTGGCACAGCTTTATGGTTTCTTTGATGAACACTGGCATATTGAGTGTTTGTTTTTCCGCAGGAACTAAGGAAATTTGAGCTTCTATCTGGGTTGCCCAACTTTTTCTTGCTTCTCCTGCTCTCCTTCCACTCACAGATGGACTCATCCTGCATTTCATCAGAAATTTACTCATCTTACCGCCCAAAGTTGCCATTTGCACGAGAATGGTTCTTGTTCTTGGCGGCAATCAGTCCATTTTACTGACCTTTGCACTGCCACATCTGATAATAGAGCGCTCCATGAATGTGTATTGCCATGCCCTTCCATTTCTGAACTAGTGCTGTCTGAATGGTGAAGCATGCCCTAGCAATGACATCTCTGACTTGAACCTCTGGATGTATAACCCTTAGACTTCTTCATTTAGTTCATCATGCAACGCCTCCTTATGTTCCTCAGCTCATCCGTGAAGCAGGTGTTGTATTAACTTTTGAGTTCTTACCAGGACTAAAATCCTGATTTGTATGCAAGCCTGGGTGAATGGACTAATGTCACCATCTTGTTTTCCTTTTGTTCACAACTGGGTTCTTATGCTGGTGATGCTTGCAGGTTTTGCTTTTGTCTACTTCGAGGATGACCGTGATGCTGCGGATGCCATCAGGGGACTTGACAACACTCCATTTGGTTATGACAGGCGTCGGCTGTCGGTGGAGTGGGCTAGGGTAAGATTATTTCTTGCTTTCATTTTTTCCCCAACCCTTGATTTCAAGTTTAGTTATCTTCTTATCTAGAGACTTGAATGTTGTGCCAGGGAGAACGTGGCAGGCAGAAGGAAGGATCGAAATACCAGAGACCTACAAAAACACTGTTTGTGATAAACTTTGATCCAATTCGTACAAGAGTTGAAGATATAAAAAAGCACTTTGAACGCTATGGAGAAGTTCTTCATGTCAGAATCCGACGCAACTTTGCATTTGTGCAATTTGAGACACAAGAAGATGCTACCAAAGCCCTTGAAAGTACACATTTGAGGTTAGTAGATGTTGTATTGCTATGCTTGTGGAAATAGAAGCTTTTCCCCTCACTACACCGTCCTTCATTGTTTAAATGATCTATTATTATTACATCACTGCAGCAAGATATTGGATAGGGTGGTGTCGGTTGAGTATGCTTTGAGGGATGATGATAGCCCTCCTAGAAGGGGTGGAAACAGCTACAGATCACCAAGTCCTGCATATCGAAAGCGTCCCAGTCCCGACTATGGCAGACCAGCCAGCCCAGTCTACGATAGATACAATGGCCCGGCATATGATCGTCGTGGTAGTCCTGATTATGATAGGCGCATCAGGAGTCCTTACTATGGCAGGAACAGAAGTCCCGAATATGACCGATACCGGAGGTATGCTTTCTCTAGCTCTGAAGCTTCATGTGAGAGAGTATGCCATCCTTTTAGCCCATTCTGCTTATGGATAGGTACTAAATATGTGCTGCTTTCTTTTTTTCTTTGGACCAGTCGATCGCCAGTCAGAAGATCGAGGACCTGAAGACCATTGGGAGAGGAGACACCTTTTGCCAGCATGTGCCCCATTTAGTTAACAGTCGCTAGTGATACTCCTTGTAAAGAGATGTCATTTCAAATGCAGGTTCTCTTCTATATGATGTTTTGGTAAACAGGGATTTGTTATGGCTGCACGGTGTTCTTTCTTTATGTGCATGGATTGGAACAGACTACTTCTTGGCTAATGTTCTTCTACCTATAGATATCGATTGTGTGAAATTGATGAATGAGTTAGTTTGCCAACTATACGCTTGTCTTTCTTTTCTCTCCACAGAGAGTGGTCATGTTGTTTTGGCTATGCTTATGCATGCAATCATAATCATCACTGCTTACTAGGATCAGTGTTCCATAGGTACACCCAAATTCTTTTGAATTTTTTTTATGATGCGACTTTTCATACTTAACAACTCAGGCATTTGGAGAAATATCGGATAGCGGTTAACCGATTGGTTACAATGAAAAATGGTCGGTTATTCACTAACCGAAAATCGGTTGGTATTTGGAGGGATGGGCGAGATGCTTTTGGTGTTGGGGGTAGCTTAGTTAACTGAAAATCGAGATAATTGAAGCCTCAAGGCCCTTTTTTGGTCGGTGGTTTGGTTCAATCGATAATCGATCTTTCGGTTTTCGATTATAATCGAGCCGACCGAACTCCACCTTATAAGAAATCTAGAACGCGGAAAATAGAAAAAGAGACTGCCTACATTGGATGACAGTCAATGGAGGAGTTAGGTTGAAGTTAGAAGGGCTATAGTCTCTCTTAGATTTTGAAATATAGATAAAATTACATGTAAAATCTAAAACAAATTTAGTAGGTAAAATAATCGGTAAAGGTTTAGCCCCTTCCCAATTACCACGGTTCAAGTAATATTATCATGGTTCGTGGAGGGCTTAGCATCCTAGGTTGAATAGGAGAAATGCTATTACCAACTTTTTATATTGAAATTTTTTGTAAAGAATATAGATATTTAGTTTGTTAGATTGGAAAATAACATTATAAGCAAAATTCATGCAAAAATATTTCAAAAAATAACATCAAATGAGAAAATGTTAATATGCTAGGAAAAAATGCTAGCAAAATTTCACTCCCGGTCCATATTTTGACCGTAAAAAAGAAAGTGACGGCCATATCCAATCCACGCCTAATCAACTCTTCGTCTTTGTACCTCACAGACTACCGTCCCTTTTACTCCGTCTTTCCGCTTTCCCCGTCTCCATCTGCTCTTCTCCGTCATTTCTTATTTACGCAGCCGGCAGCTCACAAGTCACTGCCATCTCCTCTCTCTGCTTCGCAATCCGAAGCGCCACGCTCCTCTCCAGCGCACTGTAGCTGGGACCCCATTCCATTTACGCTCCTTTTCCTCAGCTACACAAATTTCCCTCATCTGGCTATTGGGGTCCTGGATGCTACTGGCTGGCTGATTCATTCGATGAGACAACGGCTCCTCATCTTCTAGAATGGGTTCATTGGATTCGGGCTTTCCTCTCAAGAGGGACGGCGGTCTCTTCCGTTCTTCCTCAGCTGGTAAAACTGAGAAGAACCAGTTTCTGCAGAAACCCAGATCAAGATTCTCCCGTTTCTTCTTCCTCAAGAAGCTCGATTACCTCCTATGGATTTGCACAGTGGCTGTCTTCCTCTTCTTTGTCGTTGTCTTCCAGATGTTCTTGCCTGGCTCTGTCATTGAGAAATCAGAGGGCTCAGCCGCCGACCTTGGCTTGCTCTCCGGGGATTTTGCTTATTTGAAACAAATGGGTGGTTTGGATTTCGGAGACGATGTCGAGTTCAAGCCGTCGCAGCTAATAGAGAAGTTTCAGATGGAAGCTCAGAGAGAGCTCCATCCGCCGTCCATGTCGAATAAGACTCAATTGCAGCGTTTCGCTAACAGGAAACCACAGCTCGCCCTGGTCAGTGCCTTTTTGCTTCCCAATCGATGCGTTTTTTTTTTTTGGTGAACTGACGCTGTACTGGTGTTCTTTCTTTCACTGAGCAAATCATTTTCATCTTGCTTTCCTTGTTTCAATGATTGGCCTCTTTTTTTACTACGTGCTTTATTAACCTGTAGGTGTTCAGTGATCTGTTAGTTGAGCCGCAGCAGCTGCTTATGGTTACAGTGACAACTGCATTGCAGGAGATGGGGTACTCAATTCAGGTGGTTATTCTACCAAAAACACTATATTTAGTATTATCAAAATCAAACTTTTGGATGTCTTCAACGAAATTCGTGGCTTGTTTCAGTCCTCGACTTGTTAGATCCCTTGTCCAGTTATGTACAAATGTATATCAAATTGCATATGACAACTTCAGGCTTCCATTTCACCGTGCTTCTCTCTTGGTGCAAATGGTTTCTGGTTTTATGTGTGAACATTTAGTAATTTACCTAATTTTGATTATCCATAACATTGAGCTTGAAGCCCCTGAGATATTTATAATCCCTGCTCCACTTGGCTACCAGAATGCCTGCCACAAGGACATGAGCTCTTTTAAGCATAGCCTAAGTAGAGACACTATTTGTATGCCTGTGATTCATGATTGTCATTTGTTTTTCGACAGGTATACTCATTAGAGGACGGTCCTGTGCATAATATTTGGAAGAGCATGGGGGTTCCAGTCTCAACTTTGAAAGATGAGAAAACAAATATGATAGTTGATTGGCTAAAGTAAGCTGCTCGATAAAATAGTGGGAACTGAATTCTCAATCATGAACATTTACGGTTTCAAATTAGTCAAAGGAACCATTGACAAATTCTTCCTAAGGATAGGAATTCTGGTAGTGTCTAACTATGTCAAGTTATATTTCGATTTGCAGCTATGATGGCATAATTGTAAACTCTCTTGAAGCCAAGGAGGTTATCTCTAGGTAAGATTCATTACAATCTCCTAAGGCAACGTAACTACATAATTTTAGCGGTGGGTTACATTATTATGTAAGAGATTCAGCATCTTATCATGAGAAGGTTTTGACCCTGGGTACTTGGTTTACATTTTAACTCACGGGGTCAATTCATAGCTCAAGTCTATTGTACTAAAGTGCCATGCTCTAGTCTAGTTTACTAAAGATGCCCTTATCTGGGTTGATTAACATAAATGATTTCACTTTTTTCAGTTTGATGCAGGAACCATTTAAATCTGTGCCTCTCATATGGACCATCCGTGACAGTATGCTTGCTGTCCGTTTGAGGCAGTATGATTCCAGTGGTCAGATTGACCTCATTGACAATTGGAAAAAGGTTTTCAACCGCGCTAGTGTGGTTTTGTTCCCGAATCATGTGCTACCGGTAATTACTTGGTGCCGATCTATTATTTCTGAAATATTATGCTGAAGTTGACAGATTAGATATCTCGTCCTTGCTTTCATACTTCTTCCGAATACCTACACTGACTTGGCATGAGTACTTAAACATTTCCGTTTGGGATATTGTGCAGATGATGTACGCAGCATTTGATGCTGGAAACTATTATGTTGTCCCTGGTTCCCCTGCTGAAGTGTGGGGACTAGATGATACAAGCACATTATATAATGAGAGCCGTGTGAGAATGGGTTACGGGTCTGACGACACTGTCATTGTGGTAGCTGGAAGTCAGTTTCTATATAGGGGTTTGTGGCTTGAGCATGCACTTGTTTTACAGGCTCTGTTACCGATATGTTCCAACTTCCCACTTGAGAAGAATTCCAGTTCTCTTAAAATCATTGTTTTAAGTGGCAACTCCAACAGCAACTACAGTATGGCTGTAGAGGTATTGTTGGGGTTGATTCCTGCGGAGTTCAATACTTATATCTGAATTTTCATTAATATAGTGTTTTTCTTTCTTTAGGCTATTGCAGCGAAGTTGAAATATCCAAATGGTGTTGTGAAGCACAAAGGTGTCGACGAAGATGCAAGCACTGTAATAAGTGCATCTGATCTGGTTATATATGGGTCCTTTAACGAGGAGCAATCTTTTCCAGAAGTTGTAATGAAAGCAATGTCCATGGCGAAGCCTGTCATTGCTCCAGATCTTGCTATGATAAAGAAATACGTATGTTTCTCTTGCTGAGATTTCTTTGGTGGTAACTTTTAAGACTCAAAATGGGCACAATTTTTTTCGAACGAGGATAGCTCTTCACTATGTGAAAGAATGAAAAGTAGCCCATCACCAGAAAGTTCATCTTGCCATTAGGTTCTGACTTTCTCATAATTGGTGTGGAGTCCACAAATATTTTGCCAATTTGGACTATTGAATGGTTTAATCATCCATCTGTATCCTTGCTATTTTTACCTGCGGATCATGTTGAGTGCACGAGTTTGCTTATTTAGCTTAATTTACTTTCGTTATTCATCATGTTCAGTGATGAAGGCTTTGCTAATTTATGTACAACCGTATTAGTCTTGTAGCTCTGAAATTTATTGATTCTGATCCCATTGGGACATCCAAAGGGCTTTCTTATAAAATCAGTTCACTTCATTCACCCTAGGTTGCGGGTCTACCTTGATTAAATAACATTTGTAACTTTCTCGGAAGCTACCAGCTCCTACAACCTATCATGGTCTTACATTTCTAGGTTGTGGCACAAGATGTCTTTTGACAGGATAATTCAGAATCTAGAACTTAAGAATGTGACATTGATATTTCAGTTCAACTATTTACTGGCAGAGCTTGTATTCTGATTTCCTTGTTTTCTCATTATCTTACATATTTGGACATTTTCTTACTGTTTTCAGTTGTATTTGGTAACTGATAGGTTGATGACAGGGTTAATGGGTTTCTTTTCCCCAAGGACAAGATCAAGGATCTTACGGGACTTTTATTGCACTTGATGCCAAGAGGGAAACTATCGCCACTGGTTCATGAAGTTGCTTCAAAAGGAAAAGTCACTGCTAAAAATCTGATGGTTTCCGAAACAATTGAAAGTTATGCTCTACTACTTCAAAATGTTCTCAAACTTCCATCAGAAGTTATACCTCCTAGAGCTGTTACAGAAATCCCTCCAATATTGAAAGCAGAATGGCGGTGGCGACTATTTCAACCATTTTTTAATTCCATAAATGAAGACAGAGCATTGAAGAGTTCTAGATTCTTGGATAGGTGCGAGGAGCTTTGGAACTATACGCATACGGAGGGTTATGGCTCTAGAGGTGGTCCTGATGATTCATTTATCTACGAAATCTGGGTAGACCAGAAAAATGAGCAGATACTCCATAGTAGAAAGAGAAGAGAAGAAGAAGAAGTAAGTGTCCTAGTGGTACCATCCCGGGAATCGTTTCTCTTAATTGTCTTATTGATTGGATGTTAATAAGTCCCTATGTATATGCAGCTGAAAGACCGTACCGACCAGCCCCGTGGAACATGGGAGGAAGTATACCGTAGTGCTAGAAGAGCTGACCGGGTTAAGAATGATTTACGGGAAAGGGATGAAGGAGAGCTTGAGAGAACAGGTCAACCTTTATGCATTTATGAACCGTACTTTGGAGAAGGGACATGGTCTTTTCTGCACAGTCAGTCACTATATCGTGGGATAGGCTTGGTGAGTTTAATGTTTTCATCCCTATTATATTTCAACCTTCCACTTATTTTTCTTTGATGGAAAATGGCACTTTGTTTCTTGTTCATAATTGGCCTATTCACATGTTTCCAGTCTGCAAAAGGGAGAAGACCTATGACAGATGATATTGACGCACCATCTCGTCTACAACTTCTAAATGACCCTTACTACCGAGATACCCTCAGTGAATATGGAGCCTTTTTTGCAGTTGCAAATCGTTTTGACCGTGTTCATAAGAATGCTTGGATAGGGTTCCATTCTTGGAGAGCAACTGCAAGAAAGGTACAGGAGGACTGACTGCATATGTTTTTCCCCTGCTATTAGGTTCAGGCTTTTGTTTGTCCCTTCTATCGTCTGAAACTTCTTTTACAGTAGCTGGGTTATGTAGGCAGGATCGCAGCATTATGCTTCAAAGTATCACCTGTTGCTCAGTGTATGAGTTCTAAAAATGTTGATACTTATCAAAAGCTCCAAACCACGCTTCAAAATGCTTCTCCATTTGGACCACATGATAGTATTCACCATAAAGTTCAGTACTACATGCTCCGTCTGTGGAAAAATTAGAATACTGATAACAAAAGGGAATTTAGAATCATCTGGTTCTCTTCGGTTGCAATGCAAGTCAAACAAGTCGAGCATGTGCCTGCTGTAATTGTGTTTCTGATGCTTGTTCTACTCTTTGGACTATGAACAGGCATCTTTATCTAAGGTTGCGGAAAATGCATTGTTAGATGCTATTCAAACACGAAAGCATGGAGACACACTCTTTTTTTGGGTTCGCATGGACAATGATCCAAGAAATCACATACAACAGGACTTTTGGTCCTTCTGTGATGCCATAAATGCAGGAAATTGCAAGTAAGAGATCCGAACCATCAGATTATTGATTATCATGTGAACAAACCTAGAGAATTGATTCATCAACAATTTTTATCGGTTGGTGGTTTGAAGGTTAGCTTTCTCAAAGGCCCTGAGCAAGATGTATGGTATCAAAGGGGGCCTTGATGTTTTGCCACCGATGCCTGTGGATGGCGATACTTGGTCTGTCATGTCTAGTTGGGCTATGCCAAGTAGATCCTTCCTGGAATTTGTGATGTTCTCAAGGTTAGAACCGTCCTCCTGTTGGCTGTTCAAATGGTGTTATTATGATGTTTTTCTTTCTGAACTATAGTCACAATCTGTTAAGTTTGTTGCTCATCGTGTATTATTTTGAACTAGCAGGATGTTCGTGGATGCTCTGGATGCAGATATGTATGATGAACACCGTCAAAGTGGACACTGTTTTTTGAGTTTATACAAGGTAATTTCCGTAGCACAAAAAAATATTTTTTGGAGTCCTCTGCCCAGGTGAGTCGGTTGCTATATGTAGAGGTGGCAATCGGTTGGTTTGTGTGTGGGTCATAAATGGGTTGCTGGTATTGTCTTGAAAATTTCGGGTGGTTTCGGTCAGCTGTCAGGTGACTCGGGTCTAAGGGTTGTTGGGGTGAAGTTTTAGTAGTTTGGGTGGTATATTTTGAATGACAGTTGGATTAGTTTCTTACTCGCTTACAGAGGGACGGGATAACCAGACATGGAAGTGTATTATTGTTGCAGGATAGGCATTGCTATTCTCGGATTCTTGAGCTACTCGTCAACGTCTGGGCATACCACAGTGCTAGACAGATGGTGTATGTAAACCCAGAGACTGGAGTGATGCATGAGCAGCACAGCATGAAGAGCCGGAGGGGCAAAATGTGGGCGAAATGGTTTTCATTTGCCACATTGAAGAGCATGGACGAGGAACTGGCCGAGGAGGCAGATTCAGACCACCGGAGTAAGAGGTGGTTGTGGCCTTCAACTGGTGAAATCTTCTGGCAAGGTATGTATGAGAAGGAGAGGAGCATGCGGAATCAGGAGAAGGAGAAGAGGAAGCAACAGAGCAAGGACAAACTCAAGAGGATGAAGGGTAGACATCGACAGAAAGTGTTAGGGAAATACAGGAAGCCCTCTCCGGAGGAGATGGTGACGATGATGGAGAATTCGACGATGTTGAACCGCAGCAGGAAGTTGCTATAGAGATTGGTTTCGGATTATAGAACAGCCAACACAGCCTCACCTATCTCGTGGATGTAGTAGTAAAGGTAGAGTCTAATTGATAGATTCATTCTTTCATTGTTGATTTTGCACATCAACTCCAGCTTGTTTTTGGTTGAAAATAGGCACATGTATTACTGTTGGCAGGGGATCTGTAATTAGATGAATGCGTCCCTCCTGCCCATGAGTTTGTTTTTTCATAGCCTTCCTGTCAGGTCGTGTATCCTAGCTCAGTGGAGCACTGTTTTTTTTTTTACTGAAATATTCTTTATAAACTGCTAAAAACATTAAACGAACCATAATGCTTAAAAAATAGTGTGAATTTTCCCATAAGTAGTGGTTATTACAAGAAATACCAATTTAAGTACGATTCCATTTGTGTTTTTCTTCTGATGATAGTGCATGCTTGTGGGACTCGTCAAGTGATGTCAATGGAAGCGACGTATTAGATAGCTCATTAAGCAGGTGGAACACTTCTAGAGTGTGACTCTATTGTCATTATTTTTTATTCTCTTGTACATTTATCTCGTAGGTACATCAAGGCTGACCATTTAAGCATTTACTGATTCTTAAGGTCATTTCATTTACATTTTGACTATTTTGTCCACTGTCGTGTTTGGTTGTTTGGTCTTCTATAATTATTTAACTTGAACGGTAACAAAAAAAAAAAAAAACAATCTAGCTTAAGCTTAGAATAGTTGATATCATAAATATGTTAAAGCAAAAATACATCATCCTCAAGTCCTACTAATAATATTCAAACTTGTCAATCTTCATTTCAAAGTGCACTCGAGTCACTAAATCTCGTGATGAACGGGTGAATACATTGTGTAAGCTTTTACGGTTCCTATTTAGGGTTAGCATGACCAAATACTTGATCCATATTTAAGTTGGATATATTTGGTAGCTTGTTTTTTTTTTTCTTCCCTATATTTGCGGGTTTGTTAATCATGTAAATTTTTTGCTTAATGTTTTCCAAACTATTTAATGTCCAATATTTAATTATTTTGTAAGGAAATTTTAATAAAAGTAGGTGTTGGTAATGGTTTCTACTTTCTATCCAGTATGCAACAACAGAGTTGGGCTTTGATCCCACCCGCTAATCACGGGCTTTCCAACATGTGATGGCCCCTAAAAGGCCCAAGCCTACTAATCTGCAGCGCTTCTCTCTATGTCCGGGTATGGAAAGGTTTAACCCAACCGGCAAATTTTGAGCAGCCGGTATAAGCACGAAAGCTCTGCCCCAACCACGACGAGCTTTCTTGAACCTGTCTGGAAAATCAAAGCAAGGTAAATAAAAGAGGAGGAAGAAGGGGTAGCAAGCATAGTCGAGGAAGAGCAGGAGGCAGGCAGAGAGGGCTGCAACCCTATTGGAAGCGGTAAAGGCGCGCTCTTAGACTCTCAGTCTCAGGTGAACTACCGACTTCGTTAGGGTTTTACCACCTCCACTCCAACCGTCGCGATCCGCGTTGCATAAACTATAGTCCTATACTTCTACTGGATTTAGCTCCTTTCTGCGTTCGAGCTTGCTTCGATCTTTGCCAGGGTGTTTGAATCTGTTTCTGGGTCTCACTTTTGTTTTCTCCTACAGGGTGCTCGTTAATTTGGTGGGATCGCTCTTCGCTCCAGAAAGATGGTCTCTCTCTCTCTCTCCAGTATTTGTCTGGCTCTGAAAGTGTGCATTTTTTTCCCTTGATCCTGCAATAGAAGTGGGGTTTGCAGAAGATTGCTGTTTGATGTTGTTATAATTTCGGTTTTCTGCTGCTCTATGCCCATTTGTTTGGGATACAAACCGTTTCCCTCTAGTAGGATATACTAGTTTGCTTGATGGGTAAGACGATCTAATGGTTCACTTTCTGTTTGCAGCTTCCTCTTTCGCTACTGAAGACTGCACAGGGCCATCCCATGGTAGGATGCCTCCCACCTTTTTGGAATTTGGCATTCTTGCTGGATTTTTTTTCTTGTTTGTTGGGTTTTTGTTACCGCATTCTTTCTTTAGCTGCAGGTTGTAATTCATGCTGCTTTGTGATGTCACAGTTGGTCGAGCTTAAAAATGGCGAAACTTACAATGGACATTTGGTCAACTGTGATACATGGATGAACATCCATCTTCGTGAAGTTATCTGCACCTCTAAGGTATCTCTCTTATTGTGAAAGTTTACATGCTCCAGAAGGGCTGGAATTGGTCTCGTGCTTCTATGTTCTAATTCTTTTTTGTTCCCTCAGGATGGTGACAGGTTTTGGCGTATGCCTGAATGCTACATACGTGGAAATACCATCAAGTATCTCCGGGTTCCTGATGAGGTATATTATATGGCTAATTTTTCTCCGCAGTTATTAGTTAGATGATGTTGCTAGTCCATTTGTTCACCCAATGTCAAACTAGTTCTCTTCCTCTAGGTGGCCTTCAGGATAGTGTTAATTAAAGAATGGGCCTTTTTCTTTGGCTTAGTTGCTATGGTTCATTTCAGATCTATTATCTATTTAGCTTAAGTTTATCAAGTAAAATGAAAATGATTGTAGATGATTTCTGGTTCTTGATTGCCAATTTGATTGTCGTAGGCTTCAATGTGCTGGCATGACGCTCAAAATTAAAATAGGAAATCCTAGGTATCTTCAGGAATGTAAATCCAATTTTGTAACTTGCTGTGAAGAAACTGAATTGTCTGGTTGTCATGTGATATTTAAACCTTAGAAATTGGAAGTTCAAATCCATTGCTTCTTGCGAAATGTAGACCAAATAGTATTATTGGCGTAAGACTTTTTATTATTATAAAAGACTGAACTTTTTTGAGGCTCATGGGATGTAGCAGAAAGGAACTCTGTGCCTTTTTCTTCTGAGCTTGTCAACTTTGTTTCATGTGTATTGAATAATTATACGATTGAGGATAACTACTGTTAGATACTGTAAGCGTTTCACTGCCATGTATTTGAGATGAGTTTGCCATGTAATTTCAATAGGTAGCGTAATTCTGTACACTTTTGCTCTCGTGACTCTTTTGCTTTTCATATTCCAGGTCATTGATAAAGTTCAGGAAGAAACAAAAAGCCGCTCAGGTATGATCGCACGTTAGATCACTGTATGAGCATTATTGAACCAAACTTGTAATCATGTTGCGACATAGGTTCCGGTACTTTTAAAAAAAAAAAAGGTTACTGAAGTGCTATGGTTCGAAATAGGTAGTGCTCCGATTCAGACATGTATGTCTCTGCTGAATACACATGACTGTTTCATGTCTCTCAACCCCTACTGGGGGAACAATTCGTTACATATTTTTGAAAACTTTTCACCGAGTGTTGAATGCGGCATGCTTGTCTAGAAAGAGCACTTTTCTGGTGGTTTTTGCTAATCAGTTGTTGAATTTTGCTAATCACAGACCGAAAGCCGCCTGGAGTTGGACGCGGTAGAGGGAGGGGTCGAGAAGATGGTCCTGGCGGAAGGGCTCCAAAGGGTGTTGGCCGTGGGCTTGACGATGGAGGTCCCAAGGGTCCAGGTGGAGGGCGTGGAAGAGGCCCCGGTGGGAAGCCTGGCGGAAGCAGAGGTAAACAAAACTTTTGGTACCTGCTATATATAGGCCACCTTCTTTTTCTTCCAACCGGTTGCAGAATCCGTGCCGTGTTCCCCATTTTTATGCAGGAAAGATTTGCTTACTACCCTATGGAACCCTTGCTGTTCTTGCAGGTCCAGTTAGAGGACGTGGCTGATCCGTTGAATGATGAAACGATGGCTGGAGGGGCTAAGCTTGCTACTTTTTCCAAGCATATATGGCCGCAGTCACTATCCATTTGAGAGTTTGTTTTGGTAAATGATGCAATGTTGTGATTTTCTGGTGCTTCTTTCTCTCTTGTAACAAAGTGATCGAACGAACTACCTTGGGTCCCAAGATACTAGCTGGGAGTGTTCTCTTCGTCGGAATCATTTGACTTACTGGATCCATGACTTTTACTGGGCTCTTCCAGACAACTCTATCATCAACCATCAAGCCCATAGATAAAGAGTGCAGCATTTTGTCTCTTCTCTAGGGTGTATTTAAATGGTTGTATGATAATTATCAAATCAATTAAACCTAAAGTTTTGGAATATAATTTTTTAATCAAGTTGTTATGACAATCAAATTAACTTTAAAATTGGTTGATTAATTAATTGCGTTAACTAATATGATGTAATATTATTGCTCCGTGAGAAAAATTCTCTTCTTAAAGCATCAATGCATATAGTATTATATTGAATAAACAATAATGTATTAACAAAGGGAAGATTACTTGAATTTTGATTGGTTATGCAATGTATTAACTGATATATATAACATATTGAGAAATTAGTATAAATGGTCACATACCTTTCGATTAGGTACGAAACGGTGACGAAAATTCTATTTTGCATGATTTAATAACACATGCTTGGACGTGTAACGTCCCATCCATCTCCATCCAAAATTCTATCAAACAAACCTGGTCAACAATCCTCGTCACATAATAAGTTCCACCTCACCATCCAACTAAATGGATAATTTGTTAATCGGTTTGATTTGATAGCCGTGTGAGAAATTAAACCACATCAGCTAAACGGCTAAACCAAACAAATTTAACAATTTAACCAAATCAAACTAATTATTCAAATTAACCAAACTAAATATTATAAAAAATACCCAATTAAAATAGTAAAGTCACCACTCCATTTAAACCCTCCGTCAACTTGGGATCATAATCTAGAGAACAAAAACCATTCTCACATGAGTGGTTGTTTGTGCGGTTTGATTTGTGGTTCTATTAATTCAGCTGCGCCAATAAGTATGGAAAAAGAAAGCTTCACGACTCTTCTATCTGCTTCTTGCAACGAGCAGCGCAAGTTGTTGGGAAGTTGCGATTTGATTTTTGTTATAAAAATTGTTTGTGATTTCACCGTTTCGTCCCTAATAAAATCGCCGCTGAAGATTCGATGTTTTGTTCGTCAAACCTCCAAATTCCCTTCCCCACCGTCGAATCGAATCTGTAAGTAGGCTCAGACTCGCAGAGACCGCGCAAATTTCGCCGGGAGCCTGCCTAACCAACATCCGCCATGGAACTAATGATCCATTCTTCTTCCTTCCTTCTCCCGAACACCACTGCCGGAGAAGAAGAAGACAACCGCCGCCATTCTCCAACATACGCCCTCGTCCTCCTCAACCAACGCCTCCCTAAATTCACTCCTCTGCTCTGGCAGCACGGTACTCGACCTTCAATTTCCTGCTTTCTTACTTCACTTCAACTTGGACGTTCAATTCAAATAGCCTCGACTCGAGTAACTCTTGTTGTGATTTCGTGCGTAGAGCAGCACGAGTTCGAGTCTGCGCCGATGGAGGAGCCAATCGGGTCTATGATGAAATGCCTCTTCTCTTCCCGCACGAAGACGCCGCCCATGTTCGCCGCAGGTAGCTAACTGTTCCTTCATTCTGGTTCCCTGCGTTAACCAGGCATTCGGATTGGGGGAATTATTGGTTCTGTCTCCTCTGTTTGATTCATACATTGGAATATGCTATGCTGTTTAAGGCCTCGCAGCAAAGGGGGAATCTCTATTGCTTCAATGCTTATTGCATTTACCTGCTGAGAAACAGGCTGTAGTTTCTAGTCTATTCTCTCTTTAGCTTGTTGCCTGATTTTCTTCAATCGAGAAACCGTGCAGAATCAGACCCCTTTCTCCATGTACAACTCTGTTGAAAGGCAGTCGTTCGTTATTGAAGTGGGTGTTGTTGAGTCTCCCTGACGGCAGTTTGTTAACTGTGCTAACAGGTTCAAACCAGATGTAATCAAGGGGGATATGGATTCGATACGATCTGAAGTACTGAGCTTTTACAGTGAATTGGTAAGTCGAGCCACTTCCTTGCTATCAATCTCATTGGGATCTTTTTCGGTCAGCTTCTACAAGTCTCTTTGTATTGCTTCATTTCAGGGAACTGATGTAGTTGATGAATCTGATGATCAAGATACCACTGACCTGCACAAATGCATAGCTTATATTAATGGTGTCATGCCAAATGTTGATAAGTCATCGGTTAGTAAATCATAATGAATACTTTTTCCTCTTTTGAACCAATGGATTCTCTCATCTTAGTATTGCCACAAAGTAAAATGCGTACTGCCTATGAAGAAAGCATTATGTTGTGAAATGAGCATCACCAAAGATGGTGATGCAATGTTCTTGGGAGCACTTCTGATATCTCTCTATGCTGAGAAGTGCCTTAAACTTTGTGGAGTCTGTAATTTTTTTGCAGTTCTGCATCCTCGTGACTGGAGCACTTGGAGGGCGATTCGACCACGAAGCTGGCAACCTCAATGTCCTGCACCGATTCTCGACCACGCGGATAACCCTTCTATCAGATGAATGCCTCATCTACCTGCTTCCAAAAACTCACCGTCACGAAATACATGTAAACTCCTCTGCTGAGGGACCTCATTGTGGACTCGTTCCGATGGGGATGCCATCCGGGAGAACTACAACAACAGGCCTTCAGTGGGACCTCAGTGAGTAACATTGTATGAAAAGAAGTTGGGTTTCTTGCCTGCAGATGGATGCTGCTGCTCTTAACAATTGTTTTTATGGTTTTCTTCTTGTTGCTTTCCAACAGATGATGCGGAGATGAGGTTTGGAGGTCTAGTAAGTACATCAAACATAGTGAAAGCAGAAAGGGTTACAGTGGAGTCGGATGCAGATCTCCTGTGGACGATATCGATTAAAAAGTTCTGATGGCCCCCTCGGCACTTCTGCTTCGACGACGGTGAGGCAGGCCGAGGTCTGCTCAGTTGCTACATTTTTCTGTAGGTAGTAGAAATGCATATGTATGAAGGCAATATATGGTAATTTTATTTAGGTTAAACAGACTGATAAATTCAACCATCACACGTCTCACCCACACCATTACTTTTTGAACAACAATGTCGAGTACCAACTTCATTGTATTATTCACCATGTTTTAGAAACTGTACCCTACAGTCCAGTCATCGGATATCGAGCTCAAATGGAATACAATACGGAAATCACGATTGTAAAACAAAATACTTTTTTTTTCCTGTAATGGCACTTAGGTTCCATAAACAAAACTATATCTGACAATTGTAGAAGCAAACAATATGATGCAAATTTGAATGATCTCATATAAATAGGAGCATATACACCAATTAGATAATCAATCATACAGGATACCAGAACGACTCATCCTACGATTTGAATCGACTGTATATGAAAGGATAAACAGTAACGTTCATAAATCAAAACCTGTGTGTGCTTTTGATGACGCTATTACACAAGAGCTGCAAATAAAGATGGATTCAACACCATGCGCTTCTCTTGTTGCCTTCTTTCCTTCCAAGACCAATATCACAGGCAGAGCTCAATCTGGTCAGGTCAGCTAACAAAATCAGCACAGCAGGCACAGACAGACTACTTGGAGCGCAAGCCAGGGACATTCTTGAGACCCATCTTGCCAAGGATGATCTTAGGAATGATAGGGGGGTTGTCAAGCCCCATGCTCCTGCTGAAGTCATTCGCAAGCTGAACCAGTTTCGCCTTGTCCTTCCCAATCTTCTTGTCAGAGTTGTAATATCCAAGCCAAGCTTGATACGCTGTTTCTTTGTGCTTCATCTCCACATTGGACAGCGCCCTTTCAACCTGTTTCGGAACCCCCCCGGGTTTTAGGGTTACATATATAAGTATACACATACGACAAACCATATATATACACACACACCCTATGATGTACCATAACCCGAACCAAGAAATGCTTTGGCTTTACGGACGTGTACCTTCTTGGTTGTCTCTGGGTCTACTGTGGGGACAGAAGCCTTGGTTAAGGGCAAATCCTTCATAGTGGAGAGAAAGAATTCTTCCCATGGTGCAAGCAGAAGTATGCCTTGCCCTTCTTTCCCCTTTCTCCCTGTTCGGCCTAGCCGGTGGATGTACTGTTCTCTTCCGGCTGGCAAGCCCACCTGTTTTAGCAGCAGTGATAAACTTCTTTTATCAGTGCACACCCAATGTTATTGTACAAAAGGAGAAAGTATGAGCATTGATTGAGCTGCAAAGACAAGAAAATGATGACAAGAAAACCTCACCTGTATAACAAGGGTAACATCAGGGTAATCAACACCACGTGCTGATACATCAGAAGTCACTAGTATGAGGCCCTTCGACTTCCGGAACTCATCAGAAACCCTAGTTCTGTAATTCTGAGCCTTCCTGGAATGAATCTCTCTGACGTTTAGTTTTAGTTCACCAAGAAAGTCCGAAACCAGTCTTGTGACCCAGGCAGTGGTACAAAAAACGAGAACCTGGAGAAAGAAAAGACGTTGTTGTAACTTATGTTACTGAGATGTCAATGCAGTAGTAGACTTCATGATTCCCAATATGGGTGCAAATCAGCCTGGTAAACTTCAAACCAACTCAATGCAATAAACAATGCATGTCCACATAGATACTATACTACAAAACCCAACGCTATTTTGGGCTGTACAATGCAGACACGGTTCTTCATCTGAGAAGCAGAAATTACCTTGTAATCGACATTATCTGCAATGTGATCTCGTAGGAGCGCATACAGGAGAGAAAAGTGCTTCTCCATGGGAGCAACCAAATGCATTTGTCTGACCTGGAAATGTTCGAAATTTTCTACTAAAAAAGGCTGCCTTTATTGAAGCAGAAGTAGACAGCAGGATGGGACTAAAAGAAAGAAAAAAATGTGACCTTTGCATGTGTCTCCTCTGACCCCTCTTCAACTGTATTAATGAACTCATGGTCTCTTTTCAAAGCAAAATGACACACTTGACGAACCTTCATTCAAAGGAAATTTGCCAGTAAAATTTCCATTCAGTTCAGCAAGCATGACAAGACATACACAGTTATAGAGAAAGAACCTCTTCGGGAACTGTTGCAGAGAATAGGAGTGTTTGGCGTTGTTTTGAAAGAGCAGCGATTATTTGATCAAGGTCTTTGCGGAATCCCATATCAAGTAAACGATCAGCTTCATCAAGAACAAGCACTTTGACACCCTTCATTCTTGTTGCAAACCCAGCGGTATTCTCGAGATGATCTCTGAGTCTTCCAGGTGTAGCAACAAGAATCTGTCAATTTTGAATGCACGAAAAAGAACAATCAACATACTGAAAAAGTAAAAACCTAGGCAGGATTCTAGCATTTGCACTTTGAATACTGAACAGTTTGCTGATACTTTATTGTCTTCCTAAGCTGCCCTCAAAAAATAAAGGGACAGGAGTAAATAGCTTATCAGGACAGGCTCTCTGAGGAGAACTAACTATAAATGACTCAGAACTACAGTATACTATTTTTCGATTCAGGAACTTTGCAAGAGATCATCCCTTCTGCTAACCAGCAATCATAGCATTTCACAATAGTAGCTTACCTGGCATGGGTTAGCTTGCATTTTTTTCTGCTCTAAAGCAAGTCTTGTACCTCCTATCACAAATTGGACACCAAGGGAAGGATGGTACTTCAGTAGCTTATTTGCTTCTGCTGCAGCTTGTGATGCAAGTTCCCTTGTCGGGCATATTACGAGCACAAGAATAGGGGGTCGCTTGTTATCATGATCAGCAGGAGGTGATTTCACAATGACTTCAATTGATGGAAGCTGGAAAAAATGAACAGAGCACACATAGCCCAAAATACAAGTACCATTATAAAACCAAAAAAAACATGTTTTACATCAATACGACTAACTGCAAAGGACGGAACTTACCAGAAATGCTACAGTTTTACCAGTGCCTGTTCTAGCTTTGGCTAAAACATCCTTTCCTGAAAAAGATCAAAACCATTCCATGTAAGCGAGTACTACATCAACATAAATGGGTAATAAACAAGGTCAGCTTATACGGATTCAGTACTCGGTTCAGAAAATTTTGTCAGACCAACTAGTCAATAACATTTAAGCATGCTGATAAGCAAATATGATGCAGCGCCAAAGACATTCATCAGTATAAATACTTGATCTCGAACAAATTTTTCTTCATAAGATCTGCAGCTACATCTGTTTTCTAGGCACAAACTGTAACGCATTGCTCACATCAATGATCAGCAAAAATGGGGATCATGAACTACCAAGGAGCATGGGTAGCCCTAGCCCAACTAGGGATCTATACCAATCCTAGAGGCCTGATACAAAAGGGACAAATATGACATGTTTACTGCAGCATACTCCTGATGCAAAAGCCTAACCTAGGATTAACATACATAGAAGCATAACCAACAAAGTACTTTAAAAAGAGAAAACCTTTAAGAATTACGGGGAGTGTAGCTTCCTGGACGACGGTCATCTTCTCATACCCAGCATCTTTGATTGCTTTTAATGACAGTGGAGAAACTGAACACTGGTCAAATCTGTAGGCAATTTATATCGAAGAAAAGTTGGTGAAATACCCAAAGACCAGTCTTTAAAAATGTGAAAGACTGCTGACAAGTTTGGGGGGTGGGGTATGACAGCACCTACTAGTTACCCAGGTAAAAGAATCATGAACATCCATCCCTGATTTTAGGTCACCAAAGAGAAACCAACTTCACTGGCAACATACTTTTCATAGTTCTTGTTGGCCAGAGGTTCTAGAAACTTCACTAGACAGCATATATACCCATGGATGCAAACTTGCTACTGAGGCTTAGCAAAGTTTAACTTCCCTTCTCACAGTGAAAGAAGCCTGTGTTTAGTAATTGGCACTCGCATGATTAAAATGATGCAGGAATGTGCTTGAACATGCAGCATGCATCTGTAAACTTCAATAATTTTCTCACAAATATGCACTAACTTGCGTAACAGGTATCATCACTCTACAACACCCGCAAAAGAAACAAACAATGACAAAAGTGCAAATTAAGAACATCAGGTGTCATATCAGTTATCACACCAAGGTATGAACCTCATTCGCTAGCCCGCTATAGCTGAGCTTTCCTACCCAAGTCACAAATATAAGAGCCAGAGCTATGGAAAATTGACACAGGATAACACAGCAGAAAGCTAAAACGGAAGCAAAAAAAAGTTCCCTCATTTTGACATACCTAGTTTCACTCAGATAAGAGTCCGAACTTCCAGCTGAACTTGGAGTTACTTTTGCCTGATACTGCTTCTCCAATCCCAACGAAGAAGATGCACGATTCTTATAAAAACTATCGTCGTCATCTTCTTCTCCTTCCTTGCCATCATCATCGTCGTCGTCACTCTCCTCTTCCACCAGCAGATCCCCAAGGCCTCCTATTGACGCCATTTTCTCCTCGTCATTATCTCCATCGCCATCCTGGTCAGAAATAAAGCCTTTTTTCCCACCCGGGCCCTTATTTGCATCCCTTCTAAACACCGAATCTACTACTTTCCCTCTTCCTCTTCCTCTCGAATCTCCATTTCTACCGCCAGTTGTCCGCGCTTGGAACCTCCCTCCTTCATTACCGCCTCTGAGCGCCGAATTCCTCGGAAAAGACTCGCCGCCCTGTGTTCGAACTCTCCTCCGACTCGATGCATCATACTCGCCGGTCTCACCCTCCCTCCTCCTCTTCACCGGCAACCCTTCTCTTGCCCCTTCTCCCCGTCCTCTCCCTCCAACCCCACCCCTGTTCCTCTTACCAGCCATGTCGGAATCCGAGTCTTCGTCGCTAGTCTGCCGGCCGCGGATCGAACTCGTTCGCAAATCGCTGACCCAGTCGCTGAGCTCGGCCTCGTCTTCAATCAAGCTCTTGGAGGCCCTCGCCTCTCGTCCGAAATCTTGGGCGGAGCGGGCTGCTCCCCGAGCACGAAATGGGCGGGCGCCGACTCGGGTCCCAAAAGCTGCGAATTTGTTGAGTCTTAAAGGGAAGACGAGGGAGAGAGTATTGTTGATGGAGCGGAAGCAAGCGAGTTGGGAGCAGTGCTTGGCTTTGGGGACAAGGCTGATGGGGAGTGCGGGACTGAGTAGGCGGAGCTGGGAGAGGACTTTAATGGGCATGGCGTCGAATGGATTCCGGCTGCTGGAACTAGGGTTTAAGGTTTATCCGCAGCTTCACTATTCTTTAGGGTTTAAGGAGCAGCCAGCCAGCGGAGCGAACGTTTTCTGAAAACAAGATTGGGTTGGGGATGCCGAACTCTGCAGTGGGCCATCATAAATACAAATGGGCTCCTTTATCTTCTTCTTTTTTCCTCCTCTAGCCCGATATAAACATGTTAGGCCCATTGGCCACTATTCTCATCTTTTCTTTATCTTTTCTTTTTTTTGGGTAGAAAGATGGATGCTATAGCATCCTAACTCGTATTAATAGAATGGTCCTGCAAAGTACCCATGGTATCATACATGAGTTAGTGATAAAGGTTCGGGTCGCACACATCGAACAAATGTGTGTCAAAATAGGTATCATGACCCTTATAAGTCAGGAAATCGGCTGCAAAATTGCACTTTCTAAAAACATGAGAAATCCCAACTTCCAATAATAGCTAAGGAGTAAACCAATCTGTTGCACCAGCAAACCATGACGGTGGTTTATCTCTTTGAAATTTGGGATGAGGTCAATGGCAGCTGTGTAGTCTAACTTCAGCTCCACTTTTTTGTACCCTCTTTCTAAAGCAATGCGGAGTCCTTCGCGCGACACCTTTCAGCTCTGCCCTTGTGATCGAGCACACGCCCAAGTTATAGACGGAGGCCTCTATGCACCTGCCAAGATGGTCTCTCAAGAGCCTGCCAATTGTTGCATAGGCATAGCCTGTTTCGGGGGAGAAGGAGCCATTCGTCTGAATTTGGATCTAGCCTTCCTTCGGAGGTGTCCAAACGAGTTGAACAGTTGCTCGCTTAACCTGTTTGTTAATGTTTATCTTGCCGAAGCTCTCATGTGTCTGGCGATAAATGCCAAACCAAGCTTTAAGCTTGTGTATCAGATCAAGTTTAGAGTACACTTGGCCATCCAAGGCGTCTTCGTTCCTCTGTTTCTAAAGCAGCCAACAGATGATCCCAAAATCAATTTTGTGGTTCCCAACTTTAAGGTTAGATGAGAGCCATTCCTCGAACCCAGCGTTAGGGTCCGTGGATGTAACTCTATTGCTACGAATACATACATCATGCCAAAATGAAATTAATCAAACCAAGACGATTCGTCTCGTTTTATGTCAAACCATCAAGATTCAATAAGGCGTTGGGCGTTAGGCAAGCATAGGGTCACTGCCTAGTGTCAGACACATCTAAGCGATACCTAGGTGACGTATAGGCATTTTAGCAAAAGTAGCGATTTTTAGCACATTTTTACTTTATTTCAATTTTAAATGTTAATAACTTAGCTAACCCTCAACATTAATCAAAATAAGTCATATGATTTATAATTGAAATTCCAAATCGAAGAATGAGTGAAGGATGCATTGAATATAGGGCAACTAGAAATGAAGTCGTTTTGGGAATATTAGCTACAATTCTTTTAATCATTTGTCTACTATTGAAATTAAGCGCGACTCACTTAGATTAATCACGCCTCGCATCAATTAATTGTGCATATTTTCCCCCCTAAGCATCGCTTAGACGTGATGAACACTTAATTTTCTGTCTAGGACTTAGGCGAGGCATTTTGTCACTCCCCAGTGCCTAAGCACACCTAGGCCTACGCGAAATTACGCCTTCTTGATCCCTGCAAACCACTAAAAATTATTCGGTTCATCACGTAACCATCCAACCTAATGAATCAAATTGTTGTTGTAACCAATTTGGCGATTCTACTAATTCATATACTGAGTCGGTCACGTTCATATGACAATGTAATTCAAGCATAAGACAATAACTCTTTGCAATTTTTTTAAATCTAAATCACACCTACTTTCGATTTTATTAATTTTATCATTTGATACTTAACTTGTGTTGGTTCATCCATACATATTTTTACTAGTTTTCATTCCCCGCGCTCGGACTTATGGCACATTAGCTAAACAAAAAGGTCACATGCCATGTTTCAAACATTATTAACGTATGAACAATTAAGTAGATAGATTATTCATTAATGCAAATCAAGCCATTTTAATATAAGATAAACTGATATGTAAAATTGAACTTAACTTCATTGATACAACTTCTTAGAATTTGAAGGAATAAACATGAACATATATGATATATTACAACTTTGAACCTATCATAATCTGTATAGGGCTTTAAGGCCGGATCAGCATCCATTAAAATGAATGTAGTACAAAGAGGAGAAATATGAGAAGGCATATTAAAACATATCCAATTATAGTATGTTGCCAATTAGAGTTGGGCTGAACAATCACAAACTTGGTACAACCAAGAATTTCCCAAACTAACGCAAAATTGAGAAATTAATGGGAGCTGATCAACTACAAATATCAATTCAGGATTTTATTTAATTGTGTAATTTATGTGGTTAAGAAAATAACTTTAAAGTTAAGAATATGTTAGATGCCACTTAGGTAACCTTCAGATTTAGTGAATTATTAGCCATTTTAACAAAGGCTGTACACATCAATTTGTCATAACTAAACACCACAATCTCAACAATGAACCACAAAAACATGTAAGATAGACTAATCTGGTCTTTCACATGGCATAATACCAATCCAAACAGTAACTTGCCAAGGGAAATAATATTGGGGCCATTACAGACCAGTATATTTTAATGGCATAAGAAAACAAACGTTATTAGCAACCCACATAGTGAGTTATCCATGTCATCTGCAGATATGCAACCGGAATATTTTTAGAGGAAAATATCAGTGATTAATGCGTAAAAAGAACACATAACTATCATCAAGTCTCAACCAAAGCTTTTGACTTCAAAATGGGGAACTATGCTTAGGATGGTCTAACCCTAAGTTCCATGGAGAGTTGATGCTTGACAGCAAAACCCCTGGTCGAGGCTTGTTTTGGCCAAAGATATGGCTTCTTAGTGATATCGCTCTGAGGAGTATCAATATTCCCAACAAAACTCCCATCATTTGCAGACCTCGGTCCAGTGGGGCTGAACAAAAGGGCATCCTAGGTCTTCAACAACAAATAGGATGTTGCTGGATAATTGAAGCTTGATATGGCCTTATCAGAGGGTGGCCCGGATCTTGCCAATGACCTTACCTAGCAAGTCATGAAGCTCCAAGAGATGGAATATCCCACTCAGGTGACGAAAACAGTAAGATTTGCAGTAGTCGAGCCAAGCTGCTGCTCGTCCGGTGGAATAATCAGGCAAATTGTTCCCTGAGTAGTTCCCGTCATTGATGACCAAAGAAGCTGCTTGCTGCAAAAAGAACATATGGTAAAGGTAAGGATCCCAGGAAGCAGTATCATATAACTGACTATCATAGGTAAACCAAGGCTCCAAATAACTGATCCTGCAAGCTGAACGATTGTAAAAGACATCAATGGTGAATATCCAGCTGAAATTTTATTGGCAGCTTAACTCCAACCATACAAAGTGGCCATACAACCAAATAGGGTATACCCAGAAACTTATCGTAGAAGAGAGAAAAACCCGAAAGCAGGTGAGAGATGAATCTGGAATGGCCCAACGGCCTTAGACACCGCACCCAGGGACACCACACCCTAATTGGAAGACACAGGAAACAAAAAGGGAAATTAGGCATATATTACCCACAGGAAAGAGAGAACAAACTCATTAGACAGTCCGATAGAACAATCACCTGAGTAAAAAAATGCAGATTGACCTCAGAATGTTACGATCCGACTCTTCTTCAAAACCACTCCAATCCACTAAAACCGGGATCTGATCAACCTTGAACTGCAATCATCCACATATGTGATCCACAATCATCAATACTGCAGCCAATCAAACCAATCGGAACAACAAACAATATAAAGGCGGATAGAAGGACCGAAACAGAGCCACTGAAGAAAGAGATAACAAAACCAACGCAGGAGAGGGAGAGAAAATTACCTGAATGATTGAAGTGAAAAGGCGACGCTGATGTCTATGGGCAAGCATCTCCGTTGGAGATGATGATGATCGTGCAGGGAACAAACAAAGAACAATGAGATGACGATGTTCGTATTGTGAAGAAAGAAAGAACAAAGCTTCCTCGATCAGTCGGGGGGCAGCAACAGATCCAGAAGTGAGATGGGAAATAGGGATTCGAAACTTGAAAGAGGGCAATTGAGAATCTAAGAGAGAAGAGAGATAAAGAAGAGAGAGAGAGAGAGAGAGAGTTCTTTCCAGTGTGAGTTCTCTTGACCTCTGCATTATGGTGTGGGCACTGCCAAACGGAGAACTGAACTAATAAAGGAAGAAGGGTAAAAGATCAAAAGTGACTGTTATTGGGAAGCGTGTTGGGGTTAGCTGTAATTTATTGTGCATAAGAAAAAGTCGATAGCAAATTTTCCAGTCTCCGTCAGCGACCTTTGCGTCTCCAAGAGTCTCTGCAAGCGGGCACATCAAACCATCTGACAAACCTGTGGTCTTCAATAAATGAATGAGACACAATAAAAAAGCAACGTGGTGGGTAAATCTACCACACATGGCACATAAAATATTTATATTTCCCCTCACCGTCAGAACCCTCGAGCCCCGTCAAGGAACCATCCAAGAAAGTTAACCCGCTCCCCTAAGAAAGCATGACAGCCTTTCTAAGCCTCTCTCTGCATCAAACAACGCGAGCCCATCCCTCTCAATATCTCTCTGTGTATCTGAAGAATCATTTTCTGTCTCTCGAACGACTCATCTCTCCACTGAGCAGAACACCCAGAGCAACTGATTAAGCCTCGACAAGTCACATACCGATCTCTGATGACCAACGCGCGTCCGGGCCACCAAACGACCCCAACTAAGGCCAACCAGAAGCTAACGACCAGTCCCACCCCGACCGAGCCTCCAAACTCCGTCAGATCCCAATGAGGCCTCACCCAACAACAGCCCACACCGAAGGACACGCCAATTTGAAACAGTAAATCTCAGTCACGTTGTACAGTAAAAGGTGTCTGCGTGTACAGTCCCAGGGGCTGCTGTGGGTTTATTTCTTTCAATTAGCAAAATGCCAAAATCACATTTTTGAAACTATAAAAAAAACACTAATAAGCGCGCGCGCACACAATAAAAAAAAAAAAAAATTCGGTCCGGTTCCCGCATTGAAAGATCGGTTTCGCGGCCGGCTACTATTAACAAGTTCCTGAACCGAAATCAAACATATGATCTCCTTGGGGGGCTTACACGTGGATTTCCCTGGTGTTGCTGCTGCTGTGCCATCTCTTCTCGCCCCCCACGCGTCCCATTATCAATGACCATCCCCTTTTCTTAGCTTTCGACTTCCGCCTTCTTTCATTTTATAATTTTTATTTTAATCGAATGTTATCTTCACTTCTCCTCCTTATAATCCCTCTTTCTTTATCTTCTCCTAAATAAGAATCGCTTTGATGGATGGCTGATTCCACCTCCTAAATTCCCTCCGTGCAACACAAAAGAAAAGAAAAAAGAACCAGAAACTTAAAATCTCCCCTTACCTTCCTTCCCTCTCATTACGATTGATCATCGCGTAGCTACAACAAAATAAACCTCTGATCAATTTCGATGGATTCTCAAATCAATCAGCGCACAACCACCGCTTCTGCATCCGACAACACCACCACCACGACAATGGCGAACAAACCAGCGGCGAGAGGTGGGAGGAGGGAGAAGAGGATGGCGATGGCCAAGAGGGGCCTGCGGTCGCTGGCCGTGGCGGTGGGCCTCCCTCTCTCCCTCACCTTCCTCAGCATCTACTTCCTCGACCGCGGAGGAGGCTACGGCCGCGGCAGCGGTGAGGGCGGCCAACACGTGGCGGCGTTCTGGTTCCCGCCGCTCTGGCTCGTCCACGCGACCTGCCTGACCGCGGCGCTCCTGATGGGCCTGTCGGGCTGGCTGGTGTGGGCCGAGGGCGGGTTCCACAAGCAGCCCGCGGCCCTCTACACGTACGGGGCCCAGCTCGGGCTCAGCCTCGTGTGGGGGCCCGTGGTGTTCGGGCTCGGTGCGCCGTCGTTGGGGCTCGTCGTCTGCGTCGGGGTCCTGGGCGCGCTGGCCGGGTGTTATCGACACTTCAGGGGGATCAACCCGATCGCGGCCGACCTCGTCAAGCCGTGCTTCGCTTGGGCTGCCTTCCTCGCCGTCCTCAATCTCAAGCTCGTTTCTTCCTGCGAGGAAGATCAGTTGATATAGACAGATCCATCGGACTGAGGAACAATTTGTGTTTTATGTGTTAATTTTGTGTTTGCTTCTTTTTTTTTTTTTTGTAACTCGTGAATGGGTCTGCAATAGGCGGGTTGCCGAGGCTTTTCTGGCCACCTGTCTGGTTTTGGAGGCTGTGGTAGTTGTTTTTTCTTCTTGTTCCCATTGTAAAAAGACAGATAAGGGAGATGTGTATAACATACTGGCAAGCAAAATTTCTGGAGTTTGGATAAATGAGCTTGAAATGGTCACGAATTAGGTATTGTACAAGGGCATAAACCATAGATCAAGTAACCCAAACCACGACCAAGATTTGGACGGGAATACGAAATCGATATCACTCAATTGCAAGGAGATTTTGCAGTTGAACCGAACATGCATTGCAGCAGGATGAATAGAGTGGGAATAGAACAAACCTGGAGGTAAAAACAGACTGATGGCAATAACTGGTGTCAGCGGCAATTGATCTCCCTGAAGTGGCGGGGATGAACCACGGGCGGTGACGATGGATAAAAAGGATGAAATCAATCGTTGTCCATCAAGGGCTGAGAGTATTGTCGTCAATATCATCGACCAGCGGCTTGGAATTCCTCCTCCGCATTCAGAAACCCTACCGTCATCGGTGATCGGTACCGACGAGAACTCGAAGAAGAAGAGACCGGATGTGAACAGAATTTCGGAGAAAAAGCAAATGAAGAGGAGCGGTAATAGAAGGAAGGAAAGCCGGTTGAAGTGGAAGAACCTGAGGAGTTGCCGAGCGACGTCGGCGTTCCCGGAGACCGGAGCACATGCGGCGAAAAGACGACAGGTGAGCGACTGAGCCTTTGCTTTCGATTGCTAGTTGGTGTTGGGCTGGAGCCCGCTTGCGTTCAGCCGTGTGGATTGTTTTGTCCACTCAGTTTGGGCCTCCTTAAGTTTTTCGCTTGTTTGGGTTAGCAGCATTAATATGATTTGGGGCCATGTATAACATACTACAACTAGCAATTAGTAAATTATCTGGTTAAGGCCGTTCAGATTTATCAATTATTTCCACATTGGTCACTCAAAACAAATTTCTTTCTTATTAGTCACTCATTTAAATTTCATTTCATCGTTGATTATCGAAAGTTTATTTTCGATAACTTCATCCTACGTGACATTCAAATATTATTTTAAAATGATAACGTGTCAACTAAAAATAATAATATTTTTAGTTTTCCACCTCTCACCCTTACCACACTCCTTTTTCGTCTCTTTTCATGACCGTCGATCACCATCAACACACTTTCTGAACACACCTGCCCCTAAAAACTCTTTCTGGCATTCGATGTCCACAAACTAGGGATGACAATGGGTTGGGTTGGGTCGAGTACTATCAAGCCCAAACTCAAACCCATGAGTATATCCTCCAAAAAAATCTCGGGGTAATATCCAATTGGTTTGGGAAATTCAAACTCAACTCAACCCGTTGGATATCCGTTGGTTCATGGATATTTATGGGTTCTCTCGTAAAAAAATGCACAATAACAAGTTCTTGTCAAAATAAAAGTCTAACATCAATCTGACAAACAAATTATCCACATAAAAAATACTAATTTAGAACATACAAGCAAACTTGAAATTATCCATACAAATTGTTCAACATTAAAGATAAACATTCATAAACAATATAGTTAATTGAAAGTTTATTCCTCCTTGCGAACTTGAAAATTGACTGGAAAAATACATTTGTATAGCCTAAATATTCGCGTTTGTGTCAATAATAGTCAAATTTGGAGAAATACGACTAATAGCCACTTCTGTCCAATTCTTTAATAGTGTTAGCGTTAAGTCTGATTGGACAAACGGATATGCTGACGTGGCGAGCTCTTATTTCCACGTGAATAATGAATAATAATAATAATAACGAATCAAAAATTAAAAAGCCCCCAACCCTTCTTTCTCGATCTTATCTTCATCTTCTTCGAAATGATAGAACAACACATTGTCTGATCTAGAATTTTCCCTCTCCTTCTTATCCAATCCCAGTCCAAATGGCCCTATCACCATCGCGAATAGCGACGTTCTCCATTGAGACTAGAGGGAAGGGGAGAGGAGAACCGTCCATGTAGGAGATCGAAGAAGGGGGTTTCTTCTTCGGATTTCTGGTCTATGACAACACAACTATCTTCCCTTCTCTGAGTCAGAGTGTGGTTTGGGTTGGGGGAGAAGGGGAAATCTGAATTTGGGGAGTCGGGTCTTGAATCTATGGTGAACGAGAACCAGAGGCAGAGTTGATGCTTGAATAGAGAGAGGAAGAAGCTAGCTATCAGATCTGGTCTCCTCCGCAATCTCTCTAGCACCAAATAACTCCAGATTCTAGGTGGTCGGATCGACCTTAGATTGAGAAATCGATCAATGCGCGAGTTGATGGAGAACCCCATAACGGCTTCACATAGTGAATGGCAAACTTGTTGCCCCCGATTCGAGTTCCAACGATGGTGGTTGATTTAGTTGATAAGGGTTTTGAAGAAGAAGCCGGAGGATTTGAATCGAGTTTTCACCATAGGGAATGGCAAACATGATACCCCCGCCGATGCATTATTGCCCCGAGCTGCGCCATCCGCCCGACTCCTGGCGCCCGGGCCGCTGTCATCCCCTACTCTCGGCACCTAGATCCACAATTACTGCCCCACCTGTATCCATTGCTTACACTCCCACCTGCACTCATGCCATGCACCCTCCTCGACCAGTCTCTATGTGGCAAGCGTGTTCTTATTAGACAAAGGCATGCTTGACATGTGTAGAACCACATGGCGGGCACAGGCAATCATAGGTGACACATATCCGGTGACGTGTACGTTCTCATCTACGATGCTGACACTTGTCCTCTATTTGTCCTCCAGGTAGACACTATATAACCTGCTAATGTCTCTAGTGGAAGGTAAAGCAAGAGGGCGGGGAAGTACCCCGAGAGCGCCTGCTGCAATCAGTGTCTCTCATCTGTCAAGCTCACCTCCTACAAACACCTTGTGAACTATTCTATCCCCTGCACTAGGGAGTAGGGACTAACTTGAGCATCGACCCCCTTTTTGCAGGAAGCGTTTGGAGGCAACATCACGAAGAAATGTTACGGTAAATGGGCACTTCAAATCGCTTTGGGGCCCAAGACTGAAGAGGTTGAAATAAGCTACAACCTCGACATCAACAACATCATAGGGACATAAATATGATATCATACCTGAAAAATACATGAACTACAAATGATAGTAATGAGTTAAATACTAACTAACTAAACATGAGAAACCAAGGCACAAAAGGCTCATAGAGTAAAATGCACAATTGCAAAATTAATCTTAAAAATTAAGTTTAACTAAACCAAATCGCAAAGTGCAGACATTGCCTTCTATCTTAGCTGTCATAAAGAAGGTTCAATCCATGGTTACTATAGAGAGTTGAGTGTCGCTTTAGAGAAGGAGAGAAAAAGATAGAGTAAGTGTCCATTAGAGTTGTGTTAGAGAAGAGGGTTCTGTCCAATTTTCATTTTTTTTGTTAACTTTCTCTCAAAACGAAGTGGTTTTGACATTTGAGAATTTTATTTTAAAATTTCTTGGTTGTTCGGTATGATTAAAATAGTTCATGATACCCGCGATTAATAGGTTTAACATCTATAAACCGTCGGACACATATTTTTATCACTATTGTTTGTATCGTTTCGAGTTTGACTTCAATACTGGTATTTTGTGATTCAACCACAAGTACGTCACGATTTTTTAATCGATGATTTAAACCGGTTTGACTACCTTGTCCTAAACGACATCTGTATTGAAAAATGATAAATAATAATAAAAAATGAACTCTCGATAACTGATATCTCCGCAATCATTCTACCTCATTCATATTTAAAATATTTTTCCTCCTATCTATCGATTTTCATTCTCATTTTTAGTTTCTCATTTCTCCCTGTGTTCTCTCTACCTCGTCCGACGAAGCCGAACAAACAAACCCGAGCTCTTGGTGGATCAGAGAATCCGCCCGTAGCCATCACCTGAACCAACCATCGACGACCGAGATGGTGGAAACCCGGCGCAGTTCCTCCGCTTCCAAACGCCCTGTCCCTTCCTCCGTCCGCTCTTCCCCTCCTCCTCCTCCGTCGAAAAGATCCAAGGTTAAACTCTTTGAATTATTGGCGAAATTGTTTTTTTGTTTTGTGGGTTTCTGGTTTTGATTACTTCGTTCTTTATTGTTAGGCTTAATTCCTGAAGGGGTGTGTTGACTCGATGTCTCTAATCGTATGTTTGTCTCTTTATTTTCTTTTGATTTTGCCGGATACCAGTCAGCGGCGACCGCGGCTGGTGCTGCTGCAGCGGAGGCGTCGTCGTCGACGAACGATGACGCACTGGTGTCTGTGCCGGTTGAAACCCTAAATCTGGCGAAGGATTCTGGCCCTATGCCTCATGTGCCCGAGTTGCAATCTTCCGATCCGCATGTGGCTGCTCCTTCCAAGGATGTGCCTGCTGATGGCGTCAAAACTCCTGATGTCGATGCTGCGGATGCGGAAGTGGAGGATTTGGCCTCTATAACGCCTCAAGGTGCAATCTTTCTTCAATTTCATCGCTGCATGCTGCTTCGAGGGTTTGTGAAAACCAAATCTCTCTTTAGGAGTTCGTTGGATTGCTGATTTGGCGTTTGTTTGACTGTCATATGGGTTTAGGTGGAGCTGCATTGAACAGGGAGAGACCCAAAGGTGCTGGTGTACTAGCTACTCGGGCTAAGAAGGGGCAAAAGAAGCCTGAGAAATTAGAGCCTCAGGTTGCATGGGCCAAGCTTCTTTGCCAGTATTCGAAGGTTGGTTGATTTGATTTCACCTTTAGATTGTATTTATATGTGTGCGGGGTGGAGGGTGAGTGTGTACCACTATGTGGTGTGTGTTCCCTTTTTCTGTCTCTTCTGTTATCCCCTCCTGTTATGTTCTGTAGTATATTCAGTTCTGTTGACTAGTTAGGGGTAAGAAGATATCTAACTAACATTTGCCCCCTTAAGGCGATAGGTTGTTTATCTGTTTCAGCTCTGGTTGCTCAAGTTTGTGTTATATACGGAAGGTTTTATTTGGGTCTGAACTATTGAGGTGTACTAGAGTTGCAAAACCCTCCTTTTTTTGTGTTATGCATGTTTGTGCATACATGTGTTTAGTATGGTGGACTTTATTACCTACAGTTGTGTTTATAAGGGTGATTTGTAACTTTCGGAGAATTTGCAACTTTATTGCTCTTGATTACAGTTTGTGTATAATCTTAGTAGATGGGCTTTCAGACTAGAGGCATAGTCGATCACTTGGTAAATGCATTACTACTGCTTTGAACTTGAGGTTAGGAGGGTACCTTTGGTAGTTTGGATTTCTAAGACTTAGGCAAAAAAATAGTTAGTTGGACCGTCCCTCTGGGTTTTGCAATTAGCAAACCAGAATGTAGAACATTGGATGAGACCATTACACTTTTTCTCTTACAATGATAATAGTAGATGATAAAAGACTCGTTGTTGTGGGTTGGTGTCCTTGTTTTTTTTATTAGCGTGAGTGCGTGACCTTTCATGTAGGTTAATGTTGTGCCTATGTTGATAATGTGGCTTGGAGAACTGCCGGGCTGTTGGTTGGATTCTGTATAACAAGGCATTAATTGCTGTCTAATGACGCTATTTTTAAGTCTCAATCATCTACCAGGGGGGTAAATTGATGATAAATTTGAGTTGGAGCTTGTCTCAGTGCCACGTATATTTGTGATTGAGAATGTGAGAATGAGCGAAACGCTTTTTTCTTCCTATTCTCAGAAGTCTATTAATATTGGTGATTAATTGGCTCATTGGTGTTCTGGGTTTCATAGAATTTACTGTATGGGAAACATGCAGTCATACCTCTTACTAACTGTACTGTAAATGTAGCATCTCCGTAGTTGTTGATGTGTTATTGAGTCATTTTAAACTTCTGAGATGAGGCGTGTGGGAACACCAATTGGCTTATGTGGTTTTATTTTATTTCTTTAGTCATTTGAAGTTGTTTCTGTGGAGCTGATGTGTGTTTCTAATGTACTTATATTTCATTCTATTCAGAATCCTCACATGCCCTTATGTGGCCCAGTTTTCACTGTTGGTCAAAACCCTGAAAGCAACTTATGCCTTGATGATTTGACTGTCAGTTCTGTTTTGTGCAGACTGAAACAAATAGAGGTATGCTCTCTATGTTATTTGCCTATGTAACATCGAATTTGCATGCATATCACTTGCTAGATGAGGATACATCACTCAGATACTTCTCCGTAGTCTTTTTGTATCAAGTAATTTGTTTTATATTGCCCCACACTATGAGATGCTACTACCAGGTCTTTTTTGTATCAAGTAATTTTATTTTGTCTTATAAAATCTTTCAAACTTTGATTTCTCTCTCATTGATTTGCTATTGTTTCTGTTAAAGTGTGGAGGTGTTTATGCTGCCATGATGGAAGTTGTTGGAGGAAAAGGAACAGTCCATGTTAATGGTAAAGTTCAGCGCAAAGGTTCTCGTGTAATGTTAAATGCAGGAGACGAGGTGGTTTTCAACTCTTCCGCGGAACATGCTTATGTATCCTTGGTCATTTGCTCGCTGTTGGCCTCTGATCTTGATTAGTTTGTGGGTTTAGTTTTTTTGTTATTTCACTATGTTTTTCACTCATCTGGAAAGCCAATTGCGTACTATTGAGCAACTCTTCTTAAGTGATGAACTTCTTAATACAGTGTTTCTTTAACAAATGAGAGCAGATATTTCAGCAGTGCCCGCATGACAGTTTGGGAGGTCGAGGTATAGCTTCCTTGAGCATTTTAGAAGGCCAGGGTGCCGGAGGCAAAGGGATCCCTCTGGAGGCAAGATCTGGAGATTCCTCAGCCTTTGCAAGCGCGTCAATACTGGCATCTTTGTCGAATTTTCAAGATATATTTATCCCGCGCCCTTTGAAAGCTGGCGAGGATACTCAAAAGAAACCTGATCCTTCTATCCTATCTCCCATCAGTGTAACACCTGATGATCATACTCCAGAAATTAACATGAAGGATAGCACAGACAACAGTGAGCAACCATTCGTTTCACCAAGGGAGGACATTGCCGCTCCATCCGGAAATTGTGCCAATGAAAACCCCAATCTTGAATCACTTCCATTGGACGGTGCCACAGATGCAGAGGCTGGGAAGACACCAGTCCCTATCTCTGAATTAAGGCCTCTTTTGCAGATGCTTGCTGGTTCCTCTTGTGAACGAGATATATCGAAGATATTTGAAGGACGGAGGGAGTTACTCAGGGGTCTTGATCCTTCTGCGGATCTGCTTTCTACTGGCCGCCAAGCATTCAAAGACAGTCTTCA